TCACGGAGACTCACTAGTAGCCTAGACTTGTTGTTTAACTACTGCGCTCTATTACCGGTAGGCGTGGCCTCCTAGGGCAGCGAAGCAAGTGCATTCTGGGAGTTGTTGTCTTTCATCCACATAAGCCAAAAATACATTTTCTGGCTTTTCTCAGTCTAGAAAGCTCCAAATTCAAAAATAATTTCACATTTCTTCTACATAAATGAGCCATTTTAAATACACATTCATCTTTCCAGAAGTATCCCTTTAAATATAATCATATTTCTTTTTGGTTATGGGCTACTTTGTTGCAGGCATAAGTGCATGATTATCTTTAACATTTATATTAAACCATCCTGCCAAACATACAGTTTTGGGGTCTGTACGTTTTAAATAAATACGTTATTCATTTTATTCAGCAAAGATGCATTAAGACTTTTACACTGTTCCAAAAGATTTTAAGATTTATTCTGCTCTTTTGTACTTTCTGTTCATCACAGAATCCTAAAAATAGTAGTATCATGGTTTCCACAAATATATTAAGCAACATAACTGTTTTCACCATTCATAATAACAGGAAATGTTTCTTGAGCACTGAATCAGCATATTAGAATGGATCATGTGATTGAAGACTAGCCTTGACAAAAACATTTGATTTTGATTAAATTAATGCAGCCTTGGTGAGCTTAGCGACGTGTAATGTAATGTAATATATTTTCTTTCTCTTTGTATTTTAATATCAATATGCTACAAGATTATCAAAATGTAATTATATTACCTAAAATGTGTAATGTAATGGATTATGTTACTAACTACAATTTTTGTCATGTAATTTGGAATACGCAAAGGACTACAATTTGTATGTAATCTTCCCGGCACTGCGTCCCAACTATCGAGGAAGATAAAAGTCTGACGTTTTTCACAATGCGCTGAATAAACTCTCTGACACCTGTTTGATTTCAAGAGCTGTGCTGCGGTCACACAGGTGCGAGTGCAGGACATTTGGACATTTCTACATTAATGACCTGGTTGCCTTTAATTACATTAGTGTCCTAATACAGCCTCATTGCATAGTGAATCCATTGAAAACAACAGTATTTTTAAAATAATATTATAATATGATGTACATATTATATTGTATGATATAACTTCTGCATTCTGACTAGGAGTGTGTGGTGTACATTGATACATATTTTAGAGTGTGTAAACAGCACAAGAAGATTTGTCTCATCATGTCATAGTGCTACTTTTTCCATAAGCAACAACAGTTGACTATACCGATTCTGTTATGTAATATTTACACTGCTTTTCCAAATTTAGGGAAAAAACTTGTATACACTAATCCAAAAAATGAAGAAAATATTCAAAATCATGGCACCCATGCAGACTCCCACACGATCAAAATCATGTGAGCAAATGTAAATTTTCAATAACTTTTTGGTTTGTTTTACAGGAATAGTGTTTTTGGGCATTTGACATTTATGTTGTTTGTATTATCCACAAAAAATAATCCAAAGAGTAATGAAATATGTGTTCCAAATAATTATGCAAGTGACATATCAGTAGGATTTCAGTACAATAATCATTCAGATTTTAGTTTTTCAAAGAAAGTGTTTGTTTGTTTGTCTTATTTCTCAAATCCTTAGATAACTGATATCAATCTCAGACAGGTTTGTTAAATAGTTTGTCTGGTCTTCTTAGGTAAATGGAAACCCTACTTAAAGAGTTGTTCCACATTATTAAGCAAGTCCCAGTTCTCATGCAATATGGAGAGGAAGAAAAACCTTTCTGAAGATGAAAAGCATGAAATGGTGTCTTGCAAAAGGCAAACTAATAGATTTACAAAAACTGAATAGAGATCATCGAACTATCAAAAGATGTGTGTTATTTAGAGCACAGGAGAACTCGGTCAGATACAGGCTTATTAAGGGAATTTTCTGTCAAACAAATTAATTGTATTAAAAGGGAAGCTATTAAAAAAAAAGCCACTGTTGAGCAGCAAACAGGTATGTGAAGCCGCTGGTGTCTCTGGAGTCTCAAAAACCTCTCCATGCAGGCTGGCAGTTGTGCATTAAGTTTGCATTTCTGCCACATAACTAAAACATAAGATAAACAAACTTAGATAAGACAACACAAGCATTAAAATAAGCTAAAACAACTAAAAATCAAGATATTTGGCTATTTTTATAAGAATAAACATCTTTCTAGTGATCTATTAAAATATTTAGGCTTTTCTGCTTTACTACGTTATAATTGCTTGTAGTTAAATGTTTGGTTTTATAATTTTGTTATTATACAAAACGTGATTTAGCACGAATCACCTCTTTGCACATCAATGTTTTTTTTTTTTACAAGAAGAATGACCTCAAACTATTAGAATTTAATTTCACCACAATTCATCAATCAAAGAGCAGAAAGGCAAAATAGAGAAACAAAAGGCTGATCCAATGCCAGGTGATTGAATTACTGTTTGCTATTCCAAATACAGTTTAAATTCAGAGCGGATGTGAATACTGTACTGACTCCTGATTGATGACCAGCACCATCAAAGCCCTGACCCTCTTCAGGCACATATGAAGAGGTATACAGGGTTCCCAACCATCACATTTTCCAGTCTATCCTGGGGAGAATTTTCATTTGTATGTACCAATTGGAATTTCAATATTTAACTTTACATTTAAAAGCCCTGGAAATCAAAATGGTAAATTTCCCTGATATACTCATAGAATATTTGAACACTTTCTTCTTTATACTTTCAGCCTTGTATACACTAATATTTTTTTTAATCCAAAAAAGTCATTTCCATCCTCAGACCAAAAACTCTGCATCCATTAGTTCACTTAACGCATGACTGTGTTAAAGTGTTAAAGTATCCCTATTGTGACGTATATCCCAGTGAAACGGCAATAAACGTAGAGGTGGACTTGATTGTGTCCATTGGGAACTGATTGGATGGTTGTGGTTTGCTATTGCTGTGATGTCATGTGAGTGACAGGTTGTCCCGCCCTCAAGCCAGTAAACACATCATCAGAGAAGTCACTGCAATAGTAAGGGGAAGTTATTTTGATTAAAGATTATGAGGGCACATGAATAAAAAATAAAATAAAAAATAAAATAAAATAACGATGAGCATGGATAAATCATTTATCAAAAATAGTCAATTTTGATTTTATGGTGACACATCCAAGGTAAGCAGGTTCTCATATCCTTGTGTTGCTCATCATCAGGTGAATTATCACAGCCAGTTTCCGCTCCAGCGGCTGAATAATCACTTCTGCATGAGCTGTTCACCTATTGCACCATGACAACATCAGCTATTAAAGAACCAGCATATCGCTCTTCTAGATTTCAGCTTTATAGCATCATTCTGTGAGATTGAAACTAAAAGATTTAGTGGAAGATCAACAAGACATTCCTCATAAATCAAACATGCTTTACATCCAATGACATTATGGCTTAAACGGTGTGATTGAGTGAGTGGTTTTGAATTGGACGGATCAATCTTTGTTGGTTTGAGCAAAACTGAAACAGGAGATTATCTACTTGAAATGTAATCGATCATTTATTCCAAGTTTTACATAAATTATAAGTATGTTACACAGACGTGTAAATTCTGAGTCTATTGTCATATATTTGAAAGGTTTTCAGGGACACAGACAGAACCGCAAAAAACAATGGAGAAAGATAAAGCAATCAAAACAGCTTACAGAACCACACAACCTGAACACATTTTACCACAGAAACTTTAAATATAAAGACAAATGAAGAATGCAATAAGCTTTTGCACATACAGCACAGGACAAAAAAAATCCATGACTGAGTGAATCACACAGATATGATTCATACAAAGAGTAAACAATTATCACTTTTAATACAATACTGTCCAGAATCCGTATTTAATACTGATGAAAAGCACCTTAAAATAGTTGTTTCTGTTAAAAAGGTTAATATCATAGCAATCACAAAATAACCAAACAAAAGTTTAACAAAAAGTCTTTTTTTATTTTAAAATTCCCTGCCTCAAATATATAAACTTGATTCTCTAACCAAGGCTCTGTATGTACAGGGTTGAACATCTTTGAATTGGATACGTCTTTTAAGAGATTGAGGTATACTGTCAATTCATCAAGTTTCATTAGCATTGTAGAGTCACCGATTACCACAGCATCACTGCTACCACTTGAGAAAAAAAAAAGAAAGCTGGTGGAAATCTGCAAACCTCAGGAAGACAGGAAAACTCACGTTCAGCTAATCCTTCACTACATTAGACATGCCTGCATATTCCTGGATAAAATGGAAACTCCAATTGCTTAAAATTGGTCAATATTTACAAAATGGATACTTTATAATTACAAATTTGGATGGTTTGTAATGCTGACTTTATTATATAGTTGGCAGGGACACTTGAATGATTGACATCTTGTGGGAAAATTCTGTTGCACTTTTGGTTTTCAAACTCTTTCTCTTTATGGTTATCAGTATTTCATCAGATCAATTTTGATACACATGCAAGACTTAAAGGCAATTGAGAAAGAACAGTATTGTACAAAATAATAATTACAGTATTACCAAAAATGCACTTTCAATAGCACCTTAAGTGTTTGGGTGTTTACAACAAGAGCACACCACTGTGGTTGTCTTTCTCTGAGCAGCACCTGGAGGAGGATCCGTAAAGGATACAGGGAAAATTAGTAGGAACAGGATTGGGAATACATTGGATAGGGGTTTGGGGGAGAATTAAGATCAAGAGTGAATGGTGCTGGGATTAAGGTTGTAATGGGACGGGGGAAAAAAACAAGGTTTAAGACTTGAATTGGAGGGGAAAAAAAGAGTTTGGAAATGGGAAAAGAATCCTACAGGCTCTAGGCTGGGTAGAGCAGTGAGATGATAAAGGAGAGGGTCCTCTTCCTTCTCCCGAAAGTGCGCCATTGTCCACCAGGTAGTTCATGTCCTCTCTCTCGGTTTTATTCCAATTGCAGGTTTTCAGTCGTGTGACTGGGATCCCACCAGGGCGATGAATATTCCATTTCAGATTACACAGTGCGGGTGCTGGTGTGTGTGTTTGTGGCGCAAGGAGGGGGCGGGTTGGGGGTCTCTTGGCTAGCCACACTCCTTGACCTTTTCCATAAAGTTGAAGGGGGGTGTCCTTTAGCCGATGAAGCAGACAGGGCCTACCTCAAAGCCAAACCTTTGACTGGATTCCCCAAAGTCATTCAACATGACATCGATGATGGGCACCTGGTCGATGCGAGGAGTGTTAATTTCCATCACAGACTTAGAATACCCCTGCTTCAGCTGAAACAGAAAGAGATGAATTGTATGTTATTACTGCAGACTGTTTTAAGCAGCATTATACAACCAGTTGAGGAGCAAGGGGGGTGTATTGGGTGGCACTGGGCATCCCTGACATCTGATTGGCCCTCCCGTGTGCAACACCAAAGTTGAATTCTCGTCCGGTGTGCATTAGAGCCTATTTGGAGTAAGTTTAATGTTTACCATCGGGATTAGGTTTCCTGAACAACTTTTATGAAAGTCACTGAGTAAGTTAACATGATCTTTTTGCTCCATTAACAGACAGTTAATCAGATAGAATGTTTGGTAAAAGGGGGGTAATGTGAAGTAAACACTTGGACCACTGCCACATTAAAAAATTTGTGGTTATCACTTCAACCACTTATCAGCAATCATAAGATTCATTCAGGCTTTTTAATGCCAGGTTAAGGTTAAACACTAATTTTCTTTCATGGTCTATGGAGCCCCTGAAGTAGCCTTGGCCACCCCATGTATAAAACTCTAGTTCCACCACTCTATACAACAGTTCGGTCAGGACCACTATCGTCAAAGATTAGCATACACTTAGCATTGGCGGTATGGTTCTGTTCTGGGAAAGAATCCCTGCCCATAATTGCAGGGAGAGCAGCGATAATCCCCTTTAGGGTAAACAGAACAGAACCAACATAAATGTATTGCAGATATCATTACTGTTCAATAATTTAATGTACAACATAATTCACGAAAAATTAGTCTTATTCGAAGAGGAATATCAGAAGGCCAAGTCCTGATAATACTGAATGGGCCTTATATATAGGGATGCTGTGAGAGGCGTTCTATTCCTATAGGTAGACGTGGATCAGCTGAGAGTCAGCTGATGCGAGCTTGACTAACGTGACCTGCCAGAACTGACGCTACGCTTGATTTAGATCTGATCCTCTAATTTGATATACAGTCCAACAGCATTGAGATGTTGCACAGTTTGTACCACTCCACTTCAGTGTTGTTATTGTTAACTAAACCTAAATTTTTTTTTTTTTTTTTAATTCGCTAATTGAAATAAAGCTGAAATATAATAAAATATAAACATTAGATGAAAAAACTTAGAAATGTTGTTTTGGCAACTAACTGATATAACAATAAATTTGAATAAATTATAAAACAAAAAACAATAAAAAAATGACATTAGCATATAAAATTGCTTAAAATAAAATGAACACCGAAAATATAAATAAGGTCATTCAAAATATTAATTAATACTATAATAACATATACTGTAAATAATACTAAAATACCACTGCTCTACTTTTAAAACATGTTATATTGCTTGATTGGCATAGTATCGGTACCATATTGGTTATCGACTGATATTAAAGATTTTTTTTCATTTATTGGTACCTGTAGATCTTATGCACCAGAGAAACAAGCACACAGCATCTTCAGAATTTTGTGTTAGAACTTGCATTTTTTCGGTAGCTCTGTATATTACTATGGCATCGCTGTCGAAAAGTAATTAGCTGGTGAAGTGGATTTACTTATTGTAGAGTTATGAAATTTATCATGAGCATTGTAATATTTGAAGAAGCGTCAGTAGACCGGGAAGATTTTAAAACGAGCGGTTCATTCATAAATCCGTAAGATTTTACCTTAATGCTGTGGAAATACAAACCAGAGCGCAGCGCTGAAAAGAGGCGGGGCTTCATACAGTCTATATTGGATAGTTTAATTGTACATCCTCTATTTTTACATTAGGATTACCTTTGCCATCTTCTAAAGTACTTTCATTTACCTTTTTTTAGAAATTTAATACAACTTTTAAAAGTATTCTAACAAATCTCAAAATTAATATACTTTTTTTATACTGTACATTATTATGTTGTGATGTCAAAATTCACTTTTAGCATTTAAAGCGACTGACTTTAGGTCATTTATTAGTTAATTAGTCAATTTGTTAATTTTCCCCGATAACACAGAATAGTATAGATTTTTAATATCTGCCATTCATAAGTAGCCTGGTTAAAACCAGACCATTCTCAGTTGTAACTGAGTTATGGTCTGGCAAAGCGTCATAGACAAATCATTTCCAGAGGGGCGTCACCAACGGACGTCGCGGATAGACCTAAAACCAATCAGAGCGATGAAGGAGATGACGTATGCAGAGCGGCGGATAATCTCCGAGTGTTGTTCTTTGCTCGGTTTTTAACAAAAAGGAAACGTTAAAATCGCTTAAAACAGACGCGATAGCTGATTCGAACGAGTGATGTTCGACGGCGGCATCCATCTTTGTAATGTAGGCTACAAAATCTGCTTCAAAATCCCAGCGCTGTCGTCATCGTGTAAAGCCCGCCCCAACGTTTCTGATTGGTGCCTCGATTTCGACGGATTGGAAATGGGCTTGAATGAGCTCTTTGCCAGACTAACTTTCAGAGCAAATCTAAATTTGCCGGAAGTTGTCTGGGTTTTCCCAGGCTAATTCATAAGTTATTTACTCTAAAATTCAAATAATTATTGGTTTATCGTATCATCCAAAATTGTTCAGCATGACCAGCAAACAGATCAACAGCAGTCTTACCGAGCAGCCATCTGAAAGAGCCTTGATGAAGGGGTTGTTGTCATAGGACATTTCCTCATCATTAGAGCCCAGGAAGCGCAGCGCCTTGTCATAGTTGTCAGCCTTGGCGTCATACCAGGCCACAGACTGATGGCATATGTATGTGAAGTTCTGCCGGGCAGAAGAGCTGAGCAACTTGAGGAACGTCATCTGGACTGAGTTTATCGAGCCCTCCTCAACATCCACATAAGACAACTGAGACACAGGGAACACAGGGATCAAACATCTGATGAAGGAGAACTTTCAGTTTTGGATGAAGTATTGTAGGAATGAAAATCGATGGACATTGTCTGGTTCTAGAATTCCAACTAACAATTATTTTAGTACTTTTTAGAAAGCAACTTTTAATAATTAGTTCTAATATATAAATTTGAATATAGCAAAATTCGATTTTTGTAATTATTTTTTTTCTAGTGCAACAAAACTTGTGTTTCAGTCAGTTAATAATTGTTCATACTGGTTTAGTAAGCGAGCCAAACTAACAACATGAATTTCAGATGGTCTTTCATTTGCCGACTCTAATCAAATCTATGTGAAGTTGCCATTCGGTTTGCATTGGCAGAAGAATGCAGATGTTAACAGAACAAAAAAATAACAGAAAAAAAAGAAAAAAAGAAAAAAAAGGAACGTTCTGAATAAAAACCAGTTCTTGATTCCCAACCCTGAACTACTGTCACCCTTCAAGCAATAGAGACATTCACAACCAAATCTGAGCTTTGATTCAAAGTTTATGAAATTTATAATGGAAGAGAAAAATGGGCACTTACGATTTTTCCACGCTTGAATTCACTGAACCAAGATCCTGGGGACTCCTTTGGCCAGTTTGATATTCTAACCTGGAATAAATGGAAACTGTGATCAAATAATTCACCAAGATAATACAGTTCTTTATTTTTTATTTATATTACTACCAATCCTGATTTTTATCAGAGATGAGTTCCTCTCACCCCTGAGGATTTCTTATCAGGGAAAATGCAAGTTTCTCCTCCTGCAGTGAAGTTACAGTACACTTTAAAGGCGTCTCCTATGCATCCCATATTTGGATCGATCCAGTAATGTCCTAAAGTCAAAAACACATATGTTAATTTTTTTTTTTTAAATTGCCCCAATTAAAGGGAGAAGTTATTCTTTATCTTTAATTATCAAGCCTAGTTTACTTCAAACAGACTTAACTGACTCTTGTGTATGTCATACAATCAAAACAGTTGATAATTCTGCCTTATGTTTGCTAAAGAAACCGCATAACTTTCTCTCACCATCAGGAAATTCTGGTTGGCTGAGTTGCAGGTCTTTGCAGGTTCTGGCAGGGTTATCCTCGGTTCCCAGTGGGAACTTCATGCGTTCAATGTCCTGCTTGAGGTTGTTGAGGGATCCAAACACATCCTCCATCCCCTCCATACCATAATCTATCATTCCCGCTGCTTCATCATCCTGCATGTCGGGTGACCTCCTCGATTTTTTATTTGTCTGGATGGGGAGGGGCTGGATGATGTCACCAGCTGGACCCTAGTGATAGATATTCAAAACAAATAACTGACAATTATGTAGGGTCGGCTTCAATCCCACAGGAGACATATGGATGTCAATTTGATTTTCAGCAGAGCTCAAAATGTAATAGAATATTTTCCTTACCGGAGGACCTGGTGGTCCAATCAAGCCAGGCTCTCCCTTCTGGCCAGCTGAACCCTTGGGAAACAAAAACACGGTTTATTTACACTGGAAAAAATGAACATGTGTAATGGAAAGGTTCAGCACTTACAGTTGATCCTTTGGATCCCTTATGTCCTTGAGTGCCCTGAAGAAAGAGACAACAAAGAAATCAATTGAGCAAATGTTAAGGTAGCCAAATGTACAAAACAAACAACAACAAAAAAAAAACACTTTTTTACATGCACAATGCAAAAATACATTAACCTGATTGTCGAATTTCAAGAATCTTAATCTATTTTTGGCAAAGACAGCTGTTATGCCGGTTTTAATCAGAATTTTGTCATGTGCAACATGTTTTCTTTTTAATGAATGAAGAGCTCATTAAAAAGAGTTAATAAAATAATTCCTAAAAATATTAAATTACTGACCAAAATAACTAAAATGCAGTGGTATGAATGGAAAAAGTGGGTGAGCATGCCAAATGAGAATAGCTTGCTGATAACATGAATTGAAGATGATTATTCCTCTATACTCCTAATGGTTTGACCAGAAAATGGGCCTTAATCAGAAAATCATACACACAAATATGGTCAATGTCAGTGCTAGAGTAAAAAAAAAAACTGCTTACAGGAATACCAGGAGGACCTGGAGGACCGAGTGGACCAGGAGTACCAACGGGACCCTGAAGTCAATAAAGCAAATTAAAAATTGTCAGGGCAAAACCAAGACATCATTTTAATGAACATAAATCATTGTAAAGATACACTTATAAATGTTTATTCTTAAATAACAGCATCTATGTAGCAGACAAAAGCACATTCGGACCCTGAACTAACTCAGGTGTATTTAAAGAGGAGTAACTCACAGAGTCACCCTTGCCTCCACCGAGCCCCTGAGGTCCTTGGAGTCCTCGGTCACCCTTCTCTCCTGACTCACCAGGAGGACCGATCAGACCAATCAGACCTGGATGACCCTGGATGAGTAAAAGGAAACTTTAATACTAAGTGGCGGGTTTTAATACTGGAGTAAAACATACATACCAGTAGGCCTACACTATATTTCCCAGATGATTTTAACATGAAACATATAGACAACATTTTCTGTGATAAATCGCATTCCATAGATGCGTTTGATTGAGCGCAAGTTGTAGAGGAAAACTGCCAGTCAATCAGTCAAATCGATACAAACCTCAGATTAAAGACTGAAATGGCAAACAATGAATTTTATCATGTACAAAATAAAGCATTTTTTGGCTACACAGTCAGTGTGTACAATATAAATCATATTTAATGCACAGAGAATCTGCTAAAGTGCTTTAGTTTATATTCAACACCTGATATTTACAGCCACAGCTACTGTACTTGGCTCTCCACAATATGAATACAGAAAACACTCATCTCAGCACGTCTCCTCTCATAAAACAGATTTACAGAGATATGGCGCATTGATTATGTATTGCAGGCAGAGTAACAGTTTAATCATTGTCTGACACTGTATTTAAGAGCTTGTTTATGCCTTGTCATTGTGTGTGAAATAGAGATGCCAGTAAGGCCAGTTGCTCTCGCCTCTAAAACTTTCAACTGGCTCAGCATTATTGTAAATATACATGGTTTTGTTTAGCAAAGGAAACATTTTTTAAAACTGTAGAACCTCTTTGGAGATGTTTATGGCACCAATGTAAATATATGAATTACTATCCAAAGGTTTGGGGTAAAAACAGTGATACTGTGAATTACATGAGACTTTTTTTTTTCAAGATTCTCTGATGAATAGTTCAAAAGAACAGCATTTTTTAAATAGATTTCTTTTGTAACATTATAAATGTCTGTTACTTTTGATCAGTTTAATGCATCCATGCTAAATAAAAGTATTAATTTCTTTAGAAAAAGCATACCCCCCAAAATTTGAACATTTCTGTATATATTTATTAAAATATCAAATGAATACAATAAATATAAAATAAAAATAACAGATATTGCAGGGCTTTTTTTTTTTAAACTTAAATTATCTATTGGCATGTACCATTTGCAATAGTCTTGTTTTTGTGCTTTAAAAATACTAGTTAAAACATACCTTCTCACCCTTAGTACCAGGGTCACCTTTCAAGCCAGGAAGACCAGGAGGACCCTAGAATTTGTCAAGACACACAAATTTGTCCTATTTAAGTCTACATTCATTAGTCTGAGTAAACAACATAATGGTGTCTGATTGTATCTTCTTACCAATGGTCCAGGAGGACCATCCTGGCCAGCAGCTCCAGGAAGTCCCTGCTCACCCTGAAAGAGTAGACAGAAACCATCAGCCCATTAATACACACCCAAATATGCAACAATTAATGCACGGCACACATACTCAAATTTACTGACTAGACTAGGAGAGTGATTTAACTTGAAACGCTTAATGATTCAAATTAAGAGATTCTTGTGGACTGCTCTAATGTAATTATGCAGACAATTAGGACTATATGAGATATCAGTTTCCAAATGCATACCACAGGTCCAGGGATGCCACGTAAGCCCTCAGCTCCAGACTTTCCAGGAGGCCCCTGGGGGCCCACAGGCCCAGTTTTGCCCACTGGTCCCTCAGCACCGGCCTCACCCTGTGTGACGAAAATAGAATCAAGGAATAATGTAATGATCAATACAGCAAAAAGCAGATACTTAGTAAACTGATAAATAATTGGACATAAAAAAATTATATGTATATTGTGTCAATTGTATAATGTGCAAAAATATGTAAGGACCTTCTATAAATCGAATGGTTTTTTAGCCATAAAATAATATTTTCAACATATTCCTTTCTTTTGCTTAAATGGCAACTGTGATATCCATGCAAACATGATGAATAATACCATTGGATCAACAAATCATTTTGAAGAACTAAAGCTTTTAGAAAAAAAAAAAAATAGATTTCCTGTTACTTCCTGGGATTGAACCTGTAGTATAAGCTTAATTTGCCCTGGCATCCAATTAGGCTTTCTTGTGCTCAGATCTTTCAGGGAGGATTTTAAAAGTCAGGACCACTCAGTGTCGTGAGAGATTGGATTCAACAGACAAAAGCAAGGACAGATAACAAATCAAGCATTCAGGAGGACAAATGATTTACGCTGCAATACAAATGACAATCATGTTGTTTGGTTGTTCAGGTGCTTTTTTAAATAATGGAATCTGTCTTACCTTTGCACCCTTCTCTCCTTGTCTGCCTTCTGTACCACCTGGGCCAGCAGGACCCTTGAGGAGAGAAACACAAAACTCAAAACACAACCTTCCATACAGAGCTAGTAACAATAAAAAAAGGTGCTGCATCCAAATGTACCATGACAATGTTTCCTCCGTTTCATCCCCATGACAGAAGATCAATTTTTAGAAGCCCTTGTTCACCGTTATCTCACAAAAACCAAAACATGCTCCGGAAACCACATATAATATATACCTTTTACATCCGTTATGACGTCTCAAGGTTTAGCTATTGCTAATACGCTACCATTTGGTAACGGAGTAACATAATTCGAGATAAACACTCTAAAAAAAACAAGTCTTATTTTCATACACAGTATTGATTCAAGTAAATTGATCTTGTTTTAAAGATGGTTTGATATTTTTACCTGAAAACAAGACCAAAATCCTGTTTAAGACAATTAATTTTGGAGCGAAGGTGTTAGCAATAGCAATGGCTAATGGCGTGGGCAAGGATTCCAGATATTAAGCTATTAATGTCCCCACATTTGTGAACACTATAAAGATGATTATTCAGATAAATGGGTGATCAACTAGTGAAAGACTTAATGATGCTATTGGTTTCTCAGCTTAGGCATAAACACAGCGCAGTGCAACACCCTAAAAATCCATGATCAATATGTGTGTGCATTTAGATTCAAGACACAGAGAAGGCCGAGACCTGCCGACTGAATCAGCTTCCTTCGCAGACCTATTTAAGTTGTAAGCAAGAAGGGTAAAAATGGAAATCCCTACATTTTTATTGCTTTTAGCTCAAGGCTCTGTTGATACATTTATGCAACAATAAAGCTCAATGTAGAAAACAAGTTATGAGCCACCGACTGAAAACTATAAGTTTACTGTGGTAAATACATCAGATCATAAAAGACAGTGTTAGAGCTAAAAAGTGTAATCTATTCTAAGCCAAATCTTGAGTATGGCACCAGAGCTGACAATGACATCTCCATTTCCTTTCGGCTATCACATTGCCGTCACAGTGCTGTCATTCAAACCACTTTGGTCAATATTCTATAATAGAAGTGTCTAGATGTCAGCCTCAGCTCAACTGCTCTTGAGCAATGCAAACTGATGTGAGGAGACCAGTTTTTTTTACCCACACAGGTTTTATGCTACACTGAGATTTTCCCAGGCACAGCGTGTGCTCTTTACTCACTTGGGAACAATTTACTGAGGGAAGACCCAGTAAAATCCTGACTGTGCCCCGCTTTTAAAGATTTATTGTTTGTGTAGTTCAGATCTGTTAAAAATAAATGTGCCCCATAAAATATAGGCTTCTTTTAGCATGAATTTACAAGGGCAGCTCATAAACCTATTTGAAAATGTTTGTCTCAGCAGATTACAAAAGGACCAAAGGGGTAAAACAAAGGTACATTTTTACATTTTCTTAATGAAAAGTGGTGCTTGCCCATGCAAAACCAATGCTGTTTTGAGTGATTTAGTACATTTCTATGTGGTTGCAAGGGTGTTGTCTAAAGATCCCATCGTCTGGTACTTGTTACGCATCAAGATTCGACACTTACAGTGGGGTCTGTTGAAATCTCTTACACCAAGTCTGAGCTGTTGTAATAAGCCAAATCAGTGTTGGGGAGTAGTTATCTACAAATAGTGACACTTACGAGTTTAAATACATTTTTTCAGTGGCTTGACAGTCTCAACAAACTTTTAAAATAGTGTTGTGTTTTTAGTAGCAAGCTATTTTTTCAACCAAGTAGCAGTGTAGCGACACGAAATGCTATATCACTATGCTTAGATTATGAACTGAGATGCACGACTAGCAAATTATTCACTCTTTTGAGTCAGTTCTTTTTCAATGAATGCATCAAACGGTACGAAGAACGATCCAAATTGGTTGGAGATTCGGTCTGAGTAATTCAGCCTGTTTACTCAAGCACTGAATCATTTTGCTGGGTAAAAATAAAAATAGCGCTGGATTAAGTTGAATAATTAACATGCAATTCACGTAGAGCAATCCTGGAATATATACTATGGTTTACAAGTGGTGAAGAAGATCTTTCAGATTAAAAGTGAATGTGCAGCTTCCGATTAACATACTGCAGGTAAAGACGTTGCACAAACACACCATGTTTTTGGAAATGTACCACGGGAAGCGTTTTTTTTTTTTTCGAATGTAAAGTTGCATTCATTACTATAGCAACATTAGGGCCCATGCACATTTTCTTTCAGAATCATCATTAGTCCATAACATATACCTGATTCATGGTGCAACATAATATAATAAATGTGGTATGTTAACCAATTGACCAAGAGTTGTACCCCTGTAGGCGTAATACAACATAAAATAATACCTCACCACCAGATACATCAATATTTTTCTCATTTTAGATAAGATTTGAGCATGTGGATGGATTTTGCTTTTATGTTCTTCTGAGTATGTGGGAAATTGTGTTTTACATCATCTCCATAATGAGGATCAGAGAGAAATATCCTGTACAGTGCACAATGGTCTGATTATGCATTTTTTTATGCAACCTCTCTTCATACTTGTCACGATTTGGTATTGTCTCTGTCACGTTTTGGTTTTGTTCATGTCATGTTCCATGTCTGTCATGTGATTCCCTGTTTGTCATGTGATCCTGCCATGTGTCTTGTCATTGGATAATCATCTGTTCATTGTTCACAGGTGTCCCTTGTCTTGTCATTAGTCTTGTGTATTTAAGCCCTCATGTTTGCCATGTGTCTTTGTCAAGTATTGTTTCCTGTGATTCTCTGTTGCTGTGAGTCTATGTCCATGATTTTGTTTCATGCCACGTCATGCTTTTGTTTTGATCTTGTTATGTGTTGTTTTTTGAATAAATAGGCTACTGCACTTGGGTTCTCACTACAACTTGCCTCCAGTGGATCCTTACAATAGTATTTTAACAAATGCACATTACATATATATTACTTTAAATATACATAGTTATTTGTAACCTGATAACTGAATCAAATAACTAATGTATATAAAATATAAATATCTCTATAAAATATTGTCCCTTCAAGTAGCTTAAAAGTACTTTTTCTTAGTGGCTTGTAATGCAGCTAACTACTTTTTCAGAATGGTAGCTTGTCTGTAGTTAAACTACTTTAGTTTTAAAGCTACAAGCTAGTCATAATTTACAGTTTTAAAGTAGCTTCCCTGAAGACTAAAATTTTACTGTTGGACCGTTATGGTCCCACTTTATTTTAAGTGGCTTTAAGTACTATGTACTTACATTGAAATTAATAATTTGATACAATGGACTTATTGTGTACAGTAAATACATGTTTTTACATTGTAATTATATTTTGAAAATACCTGCTTGTAATTACAGCTGTAATTAATTTATGTAATTACATTTGTAATTACACTGTTGCCCCTTCCCTTACACCTTAATCTACCCTTAAACCGACCCATACACCACACTTGTCCCTAACCTTACCCGTATCACACCTCAATAGCAGCAAAAGTGTTTTACAATACAACCTGAACACAATAAGTACATTGCAGTTAATTAGTAGTTACACAGTACAGCCACTTAATATAAAGAGGGACCAATGTGGTATTTTAGTATTAATTTTCTTTATTCATTTTTCATAATAATTTCATAATGTATTTTGTGAAGTCAGAGTATGTTGTACATGTGTGCTGATGAGAGATCTGGGATGATATATATTTTGCTTAGAGGTATGTGTGCAATGTAACACGTTCACTTAGCAGATATGTTCCACTGATGATGATACTTTAGTTGGTATGTTTTTTACAAGGAAAGGAATGTTTCAACTGATGCAAATGTACCACTAATGTATACACACAGGGCCGTAGCTAGAGGATTCGGGGCCCCCTGAAAAAATATTGATGTGGGCCCCCACCACCCTCCACCAATATCATATACTGTACAATAGATGAACATGGAGGCCCACATAACAGAAGATGGTGATGTTGTTGTAAAACCTTTATTTTAAAAGTTAAATGCTTATATAAAAATTACAACTAATAAAAAAGCAAGAAATTGTTAAATAATAATAAAACCAATTTTTAAAAAGTAATAAAAAAAATTTCCCATCAGTCTGTTATAATTCATAAATCAAAAAGTAAACATTTAAAAAATTGACAAGAATGCAGTCTAATTCAAAAAATAAAAGCATTCATTGTCTTATTTTTTAATAAAGATAATATGGAACTGGTAATATTATTAAATAAAGCGAATACATTTATTCATCCAAGTGCAGTGTGTTGTATTCGTGTTTTCTCGATGTTTAAAATATCATCAGCCGGCAGGTCAGATGCATAATGCAATGCGTCGTGACTCGTGTAATTTTTTTAAAACTCTAGTTACAATACTGTAAAAAGACAGGAATTTAGACCACGTAATCATTCGGTCGATTGTAGCGCACCGATAATAAAAAATGACTGTACACGGCAGACTGTAGACGGAAGTTTTCTAATTCCCAGCGAAATAACAATATATAACCGGTCTTTAAGAACGTCTTGATCGACTGGGATACAACCACTCTCCTTGCCTCCCTCTCCGTCTTTTCCTGGCATTTCTGGTTCCCTGATTTGTTTTCTTTTCCCCGACATTTTTCAGTCAGTTAGTCTCCTGCTCTTCCACCAAGTTCATCGTTAACTTCAGGCTGCCGCCTCAACTCTGATTGGTTCTGTTCACGAGCTAGGGCGGGACTTACAATTTTATTGGGTCCATCTGATGTTTGTCACTGACTCTGACTGAATAATTAATAAATACTTTAGGTCGGACTAAACCATTTTTATGGAGGTAAGAGAAGCAGATATTTGGAAAAATATTTACCCAAATTGCACGTTTTTGTGGTTTTCATTTAAATCTCAGGCATACAACTAATATAAATATTAGAATTATTCATACTACAGGGGCCTAAATAGTATAACTGCTGGATTTTGTGGGGCCCCCTGGGTAGCGGGGGCCCCTATAATTGTCACCACCTTTCACCCCACTAGCGACGGCCCTGTATACACAGAGGAATAGTGGATTGTACCATGTGTAAGCATGGGGTATACGTTCAATTTTTAAACATAAACAACATGTTTTTCTACCTTACAAGGAAGTTGAAAGTCGCTCAGTAGTGTATTTAAAGGGTTAGTTCACCCCAAAATGAAAATTCTGTCAGTAATTACTCACCCTCATGTTGTTCCAACCCCGTAAGACTTTCGTTCATCTTCGGAACACAAATTAAGATATTTTTGATTAAATCCGAGAGCTGGATCACACGCATCACACACATGACCAGCGTCGGCCAATAGTGAGCCTACGTGTGACGTACAACACAGAAGCGCTGCGCAGTAACACTACGTGAACTATCTCGAGGCCGACAGAGAAGGAAATGAATAGTTGAATAAAGTCGTTATTTTTGTTTGTTTTTTTTGCGCACAAAAAGTATTCTCGTCGCTTGATAAACTTAAAGATAGAACCACTGTAGTCACTTGGACTATTTTAACGATGTCTTTAACTTTTCTGGGCCGGCAAGTTTCGATCCCTTAGAAGCCTATGGAGGAGTGATCCAGCTCTCAGATTTATTAAAAAATATCTCAATTTGTGTTCCGAACATGAACGAAAGTCTTACGGGGTTGGAACAACATGAGGGTGAGTAATTACTGACAGAATTTTCATTTTGGGGTGAACTATCCCTTTAAGCTCAACCCTTACTGTACCACCTCAGAGAACATAAAGGCATGATGGGGTGAGAGGAAGGAGAAATAAAGGCATGATGGGGGAGAGGAAGGAGAAACATAGAGGCATGTCGGGGTGAGAGGAAGGAGAAATACAGGCATGAGGGGGTGAGGGAGGAGAAACCCTGAGAAACCATTTAGAGCTGGCATGATGGGATGAGAGAATAGAGAAATGGGGAACATAGAAATCTGGAATGAAGACCACCTCACCTATAGCCTTATTATTAAATGCCTGTTTCTCTCCTATGTCTGATAGATGATACATAATAAACAAGAGATCTCTTGGGAGAATATCTGGTGTAGCTTCCGTGATTCAACAATAGGGGATTTTCACCCTGATACGTAGTACTTCCGCATTCAGTGATCTTTGTGCACCGCCACTTCCGTTGAATCACCGATCACTCTGGCGAACTGATGACGGACTACACTAAGTTTATTTATACGGCATCCCTGGTAAATTAGTCTGATTCACTAAAGTGCCGGCTACAAACAAACGTGCTACCTTGTTTTATTTTAAAGTTTGGACCTTAATCCCGGCGAACCGCTTTAATCCACTTCTTCCTTATACTCAATTCAGTCGGGAATCCATGAGAACTTAAGTAGGGTTAGCGTTGTTGGTTAGATTTACAAAGTGGAACAGAGCAGTGACATCTAGCCTTCGTTTCAGCCATTGTTGAACTGCGTCGGAAGTGGACATGCACAAAGTTGACAAATCCCGCCCATGAAACCCGGAAGCGTGATAATCCCCTATAATGGGGAAAGGATGATTTTCAAATCTACATTCCCCAACACTGAACCAAACGCCAGGTAAGGTACTCACTCGCTTTCCAGGGGGTCCTGGAGGACCAGCTTCACCAGATGGACCGGATGGACCCTGTGGTGTAAAATTCAATACATTAACTAGCCATTTTTATTATGTTTGAACATAAAATATGATTTTCATTGAGAGTCGAGCATCACTCACAGGCTGACCGGCCTCTCCATCATCTCCCTTGTCTCCAGGAAGGCCATCCAGTCCCTATGTGAAACAGGACATTACATCACAACATTGCCCTAATATTTCATTTCCATCAAGTATCATATTATTTGTACACATACCCAACATTTTCTCCCAACATTTGCTTAAATGTATCGGACATGCATATAGCCTGAATATCAAGCCTGTAACTAATGACTATTCTGCCGATCTGTTGATTATTTATTTTACTGATATTCCACATACTGCGCAAGGATTTCCTTTCTACAATGTGCAACGAAGCCTATATGCTAAAGACTTTAAAACAAAATGGTTTAAAATATTAACATGCTTGCGCACATTTTTTCCCTTGCTCGCTCTGTTGCCTCCACCATGTTTAAATGCATTATTTCTCACAGAAACTGAATTGTTATTTTACAACCACAAAGTGACAAAGGTAATTTGTGCACAGTGCAAACAGCCAATTAATCGATAATGAAATCTGTTGTCAACCACTTTGATTATTGATTTGAATGCCTCCATATTACACTTACACCAACTCCAGGCTCACCAGGAGGACCTGGATCTCCAGGGAAGCCAATAGGACCCTAAATGGGAAAAAATTGGATCAATTCAGTCATCATACAGTATTATTTCAGTTTGACAGATGAAGGGTGTCTTTTGGGATGTCATAGACAGACTTACTGGGTTTCCTTTGGGACCGTCATCTCCAGGGGGTCCTCTTGCACCAGCGGGTCCTGCAGCTCCAGGAGGACCGGCTTCTCCTTTCTCTCCAAGCTCACCTTTGGGTCCCTAAGAAAGGACACAACGATTTTCACCCATCTATGATGATTATGCTAAAAAAATAACAATGTAGTTCAAAGCTGGCACTATGCTGTTTTCAAGGCCAAGAAGAGGTAGAATAACTGTAAAGTGTTTGTTGGCTGATGTGATGGGAATGTTTTATGTAATGGAAGACTATAGATCCGACCTTGGGGTGAGGGTGTAATACCTAGAGTTAGTATTAATGATCCTGTGTGTTGGACCAGGACAGTGAGAGTGTATAGATGCTAAAGACTTGGTGCTCATGTGTGGTTTGAGGAAGTGATAGTAGCCTTTTGACGGGACGGCGTCACAACACTTTGGGAGGGAAATTACCTCAAAGTATTGGACTGTATTGTAAGTATTTAGGAAGGGAATTACCTCAGCGTACTGTAGTATATTATTTTCTTATATTGACAACTGGAGGTTGTTTGAATTGTCCGTGGAGAAGAAGTCAGATTTGTAGGTTGTATTCATGTTGAGAATTTTGTTTTATCCAAAGCGACTTACAAATGAGGAATACAGCAGCAAGCGATTCATCGTGAAGAGGCAAATAAACACAAAAAGTGCTCCAAATACACAGTTTCAGACATTGCTTAGAGTAGAATAAGCTAGAATCGTGAGGAATTAAAGAAAAGTGAAAGCATATAATTGTTTTTTTTATGATGAGGTTAAGTTCTCATGGAAGAGATGCGTTTTCAGCTGTCTTTTGAATGTTGTCAGGAATTCTGGATGAAGGGAGGGAGATCATTCCACCAGCAAGGAACAGTGAACGAAAATGTTGTGGAGAGTTATTTTGTGCCTCTCTGTGATGGTACCTCGAGCCGTCGCTCATTTACCGATCGTAGGTTTCTGGTAGGGGTGTAGACTTATAAGAGGGGGTGGAAGCAGGAGGGCGCTGAGCCTGTGGTTGATCTTTAAGCAAGTGTCAATGCCTTGAACTCGATGCGATCAGTATATCAATAATAAGTGTAATAAAAAAAACTAACTTTGAATGTTGCCTTAGACTTCTGTTCCAAAAAGAAAGTAATAGTAAGATAGACTGTCCTCTTTAGTCTCAAAAAGCACTTCGACCAACAAACAAACATCATTTAAGATGCTGATATCACATGAACAGGTCTGTGCAGCAGGCGGCAGACAAAATAATGTCCCTGGGTGAAAAAGGATGATGATAACAGCAACCATCTGGAATGCAAGTGATGTTCACCACAGCATATACGAGCATATACATGTCCGTGAATATTGAAGTCCGTGAAGCCTTCAGCAGAGTAAAATATAGTCATTGCAAAGGACTGAAGCAGCCTTAAACTGCCTGTGCAAATCATACCATAACGATCATTAGCTGAATGTGTTCATTTTGAAAACAGAAGGATTTGTGTAGTTATGTTCCCTGAATGTCAATAGATTAGCCTTCTAGACTAGTCTAATCTAATAGATTACATGCAGGTCAGATTTATCAGGTAAAAACACAGAAAATTATAATCAACAACTCTAAAACATAAAAATATACTTACTCCTGGACCAGACTCTCCTGGTGGTCCTGGATTACCTGCCTCACCGGTCTCACCCTAAGGGGAATAGATAAAGGGAGACAATGTGACATCTGGGTACATTCAACATAATAACTACAAAAATATTTATGTATATTCATGTTTTGAAGAGATTTATTCAAGAAAAACCCACCTTTTCACCATTTCCACCCATTGAGCCGATACCTCCAGGAGGGCCAGGAGCACCCTGTCAAACAAATAACAACATACTTGATTCAAATCTCTCCGGCCACATTCACATAGCAGCAGAATACAGTTCTCAGTCCTTAATATGGTTACGCTCACTCACAGTTAGGTTATTTACTGGGGTGACAACAGCATTCTATAACTGAACTCACACCTGTACATTTTCAGCACTTACAAACCCAATCTCAGAAAACCCAAGCTGTGTGAACGGAACTGGACAACTAGTTGTTCAACTAGTTTCGCTTTCGGTAACTTACAGCAACTTAGACATGAGCTGTATGTCATATGAAGGTTTTAGATCCAGTAACTCTTCTCCACAATGCTCCGCTCTTCCAGATCTCAAAGCTGCTGTCAGTTAATGAAGATTGGACGGATGAACTTGCGGTTTGATGAACTTGCGTTTTGATAGATTGACTCTTATCGTATCAAAAGTGATAAGACTTTTCAGTTGTATGGACATCACCATCTTTGATTTTGGTTTCTGGTAAGAGAATTCGGACTTGACTCCTGTTGCATGTTCATACAGACAGTATTCGCAACGCTTAGGCAAGTTGCTGTTTGAACGGGACATTTCGAGACTCACACCAGTACTTAAATGAGGTTGTCAATCCAAAAAAATGACAGGGAACATATAACCTCTGATTCACTTCAGAGTTTCTATACAAATATATTACAGTTAAACTCACATCTGCTCCACTAGAACCTTGAGGACCTCTGGGACCAGGAGGACCAGGTGGACCCTGTAAAAGAAAGTCGTTGTCAAACTCAGGTCAGAATGATTCACAAACGTTTGGTTTGAATCTGCCCATTAGAAGATACATTACAAGAATCAGCACATCCAAATGACTTTGTTTGTGAATCAGTAGCAATAGCACTAATACTTTAAATGTGCAGTCACATTAGCGAAATTTCGGCACAATTTTGCAGGCAGAAACGGTTGATTCTCTACTGTCAATAGTGTAGCAATGTATTTATAAGCACCGCCCACACAGAAGTCATTTTCAAACCAAGGAACTCTATTGGTCAACATAGTGAATTTGTGTGAGCAACTTGAGCATGAGATAAATCTGTGCAGGAACTTTTGCCGCCCTCACGTGAAAGTCCCAATCATGTAGATCCCTATTGAAATGACTGGATTTTACCCACAAAATTTGATGGGCAACGGTAAATGTGAATGCACCTAACACACAATACTAATTATTTATCACTTGCTGTTTTTATAAGAGCATTAATTTAAATATAGATTCACAAACTTGTATTTTAATGAAAAAGTATGTATGATTACATACTAATTATGACAAAATTAAGCGTTTTGACAACTACGAACTCACCATTGAGCCAACATCTCCATTCTCTCCTTTCTCACCTGGTGGTCCTGGCAAACCCTAGAAAAAAACAAGTTTTACATATTAATCTGGCACAATTACAGGTTATATAATCCCAGTTAGAGTTATTATTACAATATCAAAAATGCTAAAAGGTTCAGTAACAAGAGAGGATATGCTGATATGTTTCCTCTTCCCTCGTGAACAAAATAATTTAGAATAACAATCAGTCTCACAGTGTTGAATATTAATAATATACATTTACAGCTTTGAGCCATTGGGTAAACACTATTAATCAAATAACAATTTTTTGGTGATTAGCAGTAGAAGGAACCTCATGGCAATTAGCGCATTTGCATGTGGGTGCCTGTGAATGTGTCACACTCCGTGTCACGATGAAAATATGAAACACAAAAAGAGGCAAATCTTGGCAAGCAGTTCATTTTGCAATATAATTGTGCTTGACTAAAGAGGTTTGAATGTTATTCAGATCATTATCACCCAACAATACCAACAGACGTGTCTTCATTGTTAATAGTTAACATCTGTAATTAGAAGGATATTCTGGGTCATTGTATTTGGCAGACATGCTCTTTGGTACCAGCGAACGCATATCTTACTGCTTATTGTTTGGATAAATGTTGTGTTACTATAAAAGGACAGAGGTGTAATTTCATAGTCATTTTGAGGCAGACAATTTTCCCAAATGCCAAAACAGCTAATAAGGTATATGTGCAGGCTCAGTTTAGAAAAGATAATGAAATGTCTCCATTCCAATAAAGCCCAATTTCTCCCCATTAGCAAGTTATTCGAAACTTCAGAGAAAACAAATTAAGATGGTTAATTTCTTCAGATCAAAAATAATTATTGCAGAGGATCAGTGAGATGCACTAACAAGGAGACACAGAGCACAAACAATTAGCACAGTTGGGATGAATCACTATTCCTATTACCTTTGAATTCTAGTCAATTGCTTTGATTGACTGTATAATTTTGCTGTGTTGAGTCTCTGTTGTCATTTGAAATTCACCTCATTATTCCCATAAAGGTGAAGTGTGTCATTTTTTCGATATTATAATACTTTGTCATTTCTCAATGCACAGAGACAGCTACACTACTGTTCAAATGTTTGGGGTCTGTAGGAGTTTTTAATGGTTTTCACCAAAGATGCGTTGAGTAAAAAATCGGCAAAAATGAAAAGTTTTAATATATTTTAAAATGTAATTTATTCCTGTGATGGCAAACCTGAATTTTCAGCGACATTATTAATGATCTTTCAGAAATCTTTCTGTTATGCTGATTTGCTGCTCAAAAGTATTTTATTACTATATGTTGAAATCAATTGTCGTGCTTAATATTTTTACGGAAACCGGGATTCTTTTCAGGAAAAAGGATACTTTGATGAACAGAAAGTTCAAAAGAACAGAATTAATTTGAAATAGAAATATTTTGTAACATTATAAATTAATTTACCTTCACTTTTGATCAGTTTAAAGAATCCTTGCTGAATAAAAGTATTAATTATTTAAAAAAAACTTTTGAATGGTAGTGTATTAGTAAACAAGCTGATTTGTGATTTCCCTGAAAAGTGTAATCCCTGATTATTACAATACTTCTGTTTCAATATTTGCAACAATGGCTCAACCAATGGCATACACTTGGAATGGAATCTGTTTGTCCAAAAAGTGTCTTTTTGTTTGCTAGTCCAATTTGTGGCACAAAAACTGAAGTGATGGAATGAATCAGCCATGTTTAGAGCAACATAGTTGAATCCAGATTTTAAAAATGGCTATTGCTCTCCTTGCTCAATTATCCTGCCTCACAGTCTTAGATGATATTTAATAGTCAAGCTTTGTGTATATTAAACAATATGAATGCAGCAGATCAGAACATAATAAGTGTGTTTAGATTAATGTAAAGATGAAAACTGTACCTGCAGTCCGACGGGACCGGGAAGACCTGGGAAACCACGGGGCCCCTCATCTCCCTTCTGCCCAAACATACCCTGCTGACCTCTGGGTCCGGGCTCACCGTCACTTCCCTACATAAGAAAAACAGTAGTTAACATCTGAAACTGATACAAACTCTGAACTTGATGGTGGAGAAGTGTAGTACAACACTCTCTGTACAAGTAAAATCAACTTTCTGACCCAAGAATGTCTTTCAAACTCTACTGTACGGCGCAGACAAGCATGAAAATTAGATCTACCCCCTGAGACATCAAAAGTCAGGCTTGAAAAGATGTGCCATTCAGAGTAACGCCCAGAGGAATTATGAAGGGTGAGAATGTGCTGCCCTTATTTCTGACGCCGCTTGCTCTACAGGGTCAGTGGAAGGGGAAGTTATTAAAGAGATGTGAGGTTAGATGTCTGAATGGCAAGTCACTGCAGGACAGGATGGTGTATTTGTTAAGGAGACTATTGAGGAAATGCAATATTGATTAAATATTTTGTAAAGCAAAAATTATATATATAATTATAATAATCAATGGTTGTATTTAACATGCCAATTAAACACGTTAATTTAATAAGCTAAACATATTTTAAAAATGTACTCAAAATGCACTAATTGTATATTAAATGTTTTAATCACAATAAAGTTTTAAAATTTTGGAGGGCTTTTTATTTAATTGATTGATATAAGTGAAGGACAGAAAAGAGGGGAAACAAGGCACTCCCTCCTTAAATGTTTCTTAACATAAATAAAAATGAATAATAATAATAATATTACAGAACAGAAATAAAATTACAAGAAAATAACAGATTTATAAGCAATTCTCATTACAAATCTAAGAAGATGGTTGGTATGTTGCATTTACAGCTAAACGAGTTGCTCTAAGAAACTGAAAACATTTGATTGTGAGCTCCTTGTGTGTATAAAAGAAAACAGTGCTGCGTTTCACTCTGAAACATGTAGCGCATCTGACTATATACAGTACTTGTATAACTAAATAGCAGCCTTTACGGTTTGATAAATCGCACTGACTGCCAAGTAAAGCCGTATCGTATACTCGCCAACACCCTTTTTCTTTTCTTGCATTTGGCGCTTGTCAAATGTTCATTCTGGACTCAGGGCTGAAATGCCAAGGGTGTCCCACACAGCACCACTAGCTCTTGTTGTCATTTTGAAATTTGTGTAGTAATTGTGTAGTAAAAAGAAAACACAGAATTCGTGTGGAAATCACATACCTGCATATAATTAATATTATATATATATATTTTTTTAAATGTACAGTTCTAACAAAAACTTAAGCATAGAACGAATCCCTGTTCGGTCAAATATTGCTCATATTTAAGTGACTAAGATCCCTAGCAGCATTAACATCAAGTCATCTAACAGATTTACCATCTCATTCGTTTCCGAATTTGTAAGATCCTATTCAGTAAAGCAGAATAGTTTCCAAGAATGTTCTTCACATAACTGCACAGAATAGGTGTAATTATCAGCTTTTATAGAGCTAATGTATCAAGGAAACGGAGAGGCCCAGCTGGGAGTGTTCAGCTTGAGTCATAAACTTTAAACATTCAACTGTGTACCACCTGGCCCTGACTACTTACTCACACTGCTGCTTTATCAACTCAGCAGGCTGCCTGACAGAGGCAAAACTGAGCAAATGTGAGTAGTTAGTCATTCAACAGACACTTTTATTCAAAGCAACTTAAAAGTGTACTTAATACAGGGAAAATCTCCCTGGAGTAATGTGGACCAGGGTCAAACAACCAGCATGGCCCAATGTGAAAATATTTTGTCCAGTTGACATAACTGTCACCCTCCCTATAAGGCCAATTGTTACAATGTTGCAAGTGTTTTAATGACTTGCAAACACAAAACATTGGATTAAACGAATAACCCTTTGCCAGATTTAAACCTTGATACTTATATAAGTGATACTTGGTTGATATACATGTATATTTATTAAGTTAGGCTACTTTATATGTGTGAAATCATAGCAGTAACAAAGATAGTTTGAAGATGAATGGAGAAAAGAGGTAAACATTGAAATGAACGGTTGTAAGTACTCACAGCAGGACCTGGAGCTCCAACTACACCCTGAGGACCTCCTGGGCCTGGCGGACCCTACAGCAACAGACAATCAGCGCAAAGATAAGGACTGGTTATAAAGAATCTATATCTCATTGATCATTCTAAGATAATATTTGTTTAAAATAGGGTTGCTTTTGCATCCAAGTGCATAAATAATAGTACCGGTAAGTGCATAATTAATGCAACTAATACATAAGAAAAAAAATATGGTCCCACTTTATATAAAGTCTCTTTAACTACATTGACAGTCTATGCAACTACCAATTTGATGCTTCAAATAGTTAATAAAGAGATCATAAAAATAATCCATAGGAATCGAGCGGTTTAAACTTTAGTCAAAATTTTCTGAAGAGACATGATGATGATGAACAGATTTAATGAAGACTTTTATTCACATACAAACATTCATCAACTCACACATCAGTAATGATAGACGGAAGCTCGAGCCTTTTTGCTTGACATGCGAGAACCAATGAGGTTCATTCTTGTGATTCTCAGCACGTTTGAGCTTCCACAAGAACCAATGAGGTTCATTCTTGTGATTCTCAGCACGTTTGAGCTTCCACAAGAACCAATGAGGTTCATTCTCGTGTTAAGTAGCATCTTTGAGCTTTCAAAAGAATCAATGAGGTTTATTCTTGTGATTCTCAGCACGTTTGGGCTTCCGCAAGAACCAATGAGGTTCATTCTCGTGTTACGCAGCACGTTTGAGCTTCGGCAAGAACCAATGAGGTTCATTCTCGTGTTACGCAGGACGTTTGAGCTTCGGCAAGAACCAATGAGGTTCATTCTCGTGTTACGCAGCACATTTGAGCTTCCGCAAAAAACAAAGAGGTTCATTATCGTATTACGCAGCATGTTTGAGCTTCCTGAAGAACCAATGAGGTTCATTCTCGTGTTACGCAGGACGTTTGAGCTTAGGCAAGAACCAATGAGGTTAATTCTTGTGTTACGCAGCACGTTTGAGCTTCTGCAAGAACCAATGAGGTTCATTCTCGTGTTACGCAGCACATTTGAGCTTCCGCAAGAACCAATTAGGTTCTCGGCTAACATTAAATGAAATTTTTTATTTTTATTAACATTAACAAAGATTGATAAATAATGTAACAAATGTATTGCTTAGTGTAATCAAATATTTTATTTATTTATATTTAAATGTTTTAATTATTATCCCCAAATAAAAATAAAATATAAATAAAGATAATTTTTATAAATAGTTTGAATATTGTTCAACTTACATATTCACCCTTGTCACCTTTGCTTCCCTTTTGACCAGGCTCTCCAACTTCTCCCTGGAAAAAAATGAATGAGAATGTTTTTGAAAATTGAGTAACTGGCGCTTCGTTTAAAACTGTTCCCTTGTTGCCGGGTCATCAAAATAAAAATTCTCAAGGTCAATTCAGCCTCAATGGCAGAGTAAACTTTGCTCCAGAGATTTTAATTTAACAGTAAAACCAAGACCTTGGGGTGTGTTTGCAATTAATTGATTACTTGGCCCCTCCAACACCATTGCCGCCACAGCCGAAAAGAATAATGTAGCTTGGGACGTGATAAGGGTCTAAAAAAGCCCCGTTCTACATTTAAAAGGGCGATAATAGATTCTGGAATACATTAGCCTCAGAACACATTTGTTTACTTGGTTTATGTGCATGTGTGTAGAAGTGTGTGTGTGCTCCTTGATTTCACTGGTTTCAACATTTCACTAGTAATGATTTTGTGTCTTGTTTGATTATAGTGATGGATAAGTTAAAACTCTGTCGGCAGCATCACTAATGGTGTGCAGATGTGAGATGGGCATGATGTCTATTTATTATAACGTCATGCTGTGAAGTTTGGAATAAAGTGCTGCACCTTGTCACCGTCCTCTCCAGGTGGACCCTGAGGTCCGGCTGGGCCAGGGAGACCGACTGGACCTTGGATGCCATCCCGACCGGCAGGACCAGCAGGTCCTTTCTCACCCTGAGTGAGAAATAACGTTTTACATTGATGACTCAATATGCAGATTAATATGCACCTCTCTGCATTACATCCTATGAGGAATACTTTAATCCAATTAATACAGGGAGTCTGAGCAAACAAAGCTAATTGCAGATCCACCGCAATTAATTAACAGTATTTATACACTATGCAGAAGAGTATGTTCGGTAATTATTATAGAACCTTTCAGTCAACTAATTGATTTCAGCTTTAACTGAATTAAGTTTTTGTTTGGATGCTGCATTAAACTCGCTAAGCTATCTCTGGTAGATGTGTTTATGGAAAAGATGAATTTTAATGAACTAAAACTCTTTCCCTCTGGCCCATGTTATTTCCCACAGGAATCTCTAGACATTAGTGCATCGCTTCCACACATATGATAAAAGCACAGTTGCTATTTTACTTTCTTCAGAGTGAATTCAGGTAAATTAGGCCCCATTTTGCCATTCATCTCACCAACAAATGAGATGATGGCCCAATTTATTTGTTCAATTTAATAATTATGCTTACTTATTGGGACAATGTACAAGCTAAAAATGGCATTTTATTTAATCTGCTAACAATGCTCACTCACCGGACCACCCTTCTCTCCAGCGGGTCCCGGGGGTCCCTGAGGGCCATTGCGTCCTGTTAGACCAATGGGTCCTCCTGGTCCAGCTGCTCCTCTCTCTCCTGGTGACCCCTGTAACACGCATATCCTATTAAATCTGACTGCATCCCAATTGGTTAATTAAGATACTTATAATTTACAGGAAAGTAAGTTCTGGTTTTCCCTTTTTCAAGATAGTGTATTTTAATTTAATTTTGTAAAATCCAAATAAGCTTTACAGAACTTTATTGGAAAGTGTTTAAACAATGTTTTTCATACTTGTTCAATGAACCGTAAACAATTTTTGCACATGCACCTGTGGAACAGTCCTTAAGACATAACAGTTTACAGGCGGAAGACAATTATTGTCTCAGTTCCAATAACTTAGGATATTAAAGAGACCATTCTCCTGATTCTGAAAAACACCAGGAGAAAGATGGCCAGGATCTCTGATCACCTGCCATAGTCCTGATCCAGGGGGGCATGAGGACTGCAAACTGATTAATTTAGGTCATGTTCCAAAAATATTCAAGCTAGCAGTAATAAAACCTCTTATTAAGAAACCGCAATTAGATCCAAATAACTTAGCAAATTACAGACCGATTTCAAATCTTCCATTTATGTCTAAAATACTAGAAAAGACTGTGTCCGCTCAATTGTGCTCTTTCATGCAAGAAAATGAGATATATGAAAAATTTCAGTCAGGATTCAGACCGCATCATAGCACAGAAACTGCGCTAGTTAAAATTACAAATGATTTACTTTTAGCTTCTGACCAAGGCTGTATCTCAATATTAGTTCTACTCGATCTTAGTGCTGCGTTTGACACTATCGATCATAAAATACTCTTGGATCGACTACAAATCTACACTGGTGTTCAGGGACAGGCATTAAGCTGGTTCAGATCGTATTTATCAGACCGTTACCATTTTGTTTGTTTAAATGGGGAAAAATCGAAGATAACGTCAGTAGACTATGGAGTGCCGCAAGGATCGGTGTTAGGCCCTCTGCTATTCTCAATATATATGCTGCCACTTGGTAATATTATAAGAAAACATGGAATTAATTTCCACTGTTATGCTGATGACACTCAATTATATATTTCATCACGGCCAGATGAAAACACTAACTCATCAAAATTGACAGAGTGTCTTAAAGATATAAAATGCTGGATGACGCATAATTTCCTGCTACTAAATCCAGATAAAACGGAGGTATTACTTGTTGGTCCAAAAAAACTATCCACAAAACCACTTATAATACAACTTTAATATATAGGATGTCCTGTTACTTTATCCTCTACGGTAAAAGACCTGGGAGTTATACTAGACCACAACTTGTCTTTCGAAAATCATATTTCATATGTTACAAGAACGGCCTTTTTCCATCTTAGAAACATTGCTAAATTACGTAACATGCTATCTGTTTCCGATGCAGAAAAGTTAGTTCATGCATTCATGACCTCGAGACTAGATTACTGTAATGCTTTATTAGCCGGTTGTCCTGCATCCTCAATAAACAAGCTACAGTTAGTGCAAAATGCAGCCGCTAGAGTTCTTACTAGGTCAAGAAAATATGATCATATAACACCAATTTTATCATCTCTACACTGGTTACCTATCAAGTTCCGTATCAATTACAAAGTACTATTACTGACCTATAAAGCCCTAAATGGTTTAGCTCCTGTGTATTTAATGGACCTTCTATCGCCCTACAATCCATCGCGTTCTTTAAGATCACTAAATTCGAGGCTTCTAGTCATTCCTAGGATATCTAAGTCCACTAAAGGAGGGATGGCGTTCTCACATTTAGCTCCTAAACTCTGGAATAGCCTTCCTGATATTGTTCGAGGCTCTGACTCGCTGTCCCAGTTTAAAACTAGATTAAAGACGCATCTCTTTAGCCAAGCATTTACATAATGCTTACCTTTTATACCACTGCTGAATCAGATCAAATGCATTTAATACTATAAAACTTGAAGAGACTGTAGGTTATCTGTATAGGTTGCATAGTATTTGCAGTCATTACGTTCCTGTGTATATTGCGTGAATGACGGGTGGTTGGGCAGATATTGTGTTGCGGTAGGTAGTATGCCATACGGAACCGTTGTCCACTGAAACTGCCTATTCACGCACCAGTGGGGCTCGACAGCCTTAGTCAACGGGTTGGCGCGTATGGTTGGGTTGCGGAGAGATTGTGAGATTGTGGTTAGGTCTCAGCAGCAGGAGGGACGTAGAGGTCAGTAAGCTGGGCTGAGTTGAGTGGGGGACGGAGGGGGGTGATTTTGGGACGCAAGAGTCACTGTCTTCATGTTTTGTCATTTACGCCTGTGTTATGGAAATCATCATTATGAACAGCAGCTACGCTAATTATTTTCCCTTTGCTTTTCTGCTGTTATCTCGGGACGCGAGTCCCGAGAAAATGGCGTTCGTCAGCTCCAGTTTGTATCCAGCCTCTCACGGAGACTTCAGATGCTCCAATCACAAAGCCTATGAAGTGACGACTCAACACGGGCGATATGGACTCTCTATGGTGGACGGCACTGATCCTCAACAACTCGTCTTAAGACCGGCGTGCATACTTGGACTTCCAAAAAATACTCTAAATGTTCCGATCCAATCTGACTTGTAATGCTGCCCGAATCATGCACTGTTCCTTCGTTGGCCAGAGGAGAACTGGCCCCCCGACTGAGTCTGGTTTCTCCCAAGGTTTTTTTCTCCATTCTGTCACCTGATGGAGTTTTGGTTCCTTGCCACTGTTGCCTTGGCTTTTGGCTTGCTTAGTTGGGGACATTTAATATTCAATAATATTATTGATCTGCCTTACTTAAGGTGGACGTTGACGCAATTTCTTTTAGAAACAAACTTTGTTATATTGTTTTCATGTTATCACTGTGAAGCGCTTTGATACAATCTGTATTGTAAAAAGCGCTATATAAATAAAGGTGACTTGACTTGACTTGACTAATCCAGGTGTGCCTGGCCTCAGTAACAATAATCAGGCACACCTGGATTAATCAGTTTGTCCAATAATGGCAGACAGGAAACAAAGGAGCTGGCTGAAGTTCAGGAAGTAGTGAAGCTGTGCATAAAGCCTATTATGAGCGCGCTTGCCGCGCGCCTACATTTGAAATAACGAACTTGAGCGCGCAAAATATGTGAGCGCGATATGTGAACAGGCCCCTTGGCGAGCTACCACCAATCAGGCCACGAGTAGTAGCTCGCGAGCGACGTATTGGAGACCCCTGCTCTAAAACAATGTGAGAATAATCATTTTTGAGCTTGTAATATGTGTCCAACAGGTTGATAAGAAGGTTTGCTTTGATTTGTGCAAAGTCAGTAATTTGAGACACTATACATGTGTAGAAAGAATTCAATAAGACGGGCAGACATGACTGCAAATATTTGTATTTCAAAAGCAATAATTGTTTTTCTAAGTATAATAAAAGGAAATGTGCCTTCCAAAAAAACAAGAAACATTCAATATCATTAATGTGTTGTATAAATAAAATAAAAAGGACATAAGCAGATATAAATATCACAAATATGTGTTATAGGGAAAAGACAAAGAACGTTTGTAAAATGAACTTCAACTGTCAGAAGGACAGCTCATGAAGAACCAATCATGTACAGAAAGGAATGTTCAAATTCAGAGGAACTGTTCAGAAGAAACGTTAATAATAAATATTGAGAAGATTGGATCAGTTGTGCTCCTTTTTTGGAATACTTGATTACTATTTTTTGTGGAATACTTGATGCGGCCCAGCCTGACCCCGACTCTACCTCCAGCGGCCCCCAGTTAAGTTGAGTTTGAGACCCCTGGTTAAGGGACTCAATATTTAATTTCTGTTTGTCAAATGTTTTGTTATATATATATATATATATATATACTGTGTATATAAAATATATTTCCAGGTGTTCCATGTCTGTGGGAATCCTGTTATTCAGTAGTTTGTTTTGGCTCTGAAGAACATGTTCCCATACAGATCCTTTTGCTGCACTTAACAACACAAGGCACATTTGCATTTGCGTATCACATTAAATATATCTCTTTCTTTGAGAGTGTGAACAGGTCTTTTATAGTTTATATGAGAGCGAGCTCTCTGGTTCAAAACCAACGTGTAGCATGCCTTTTTCAGAAATAGTCCATTAGTTCATCTATTAGCACTGAAGGATTAGAACTAAAGACAGCTCTCAGAGCGAAGGCTTTATCCACTTTTTACTTGAGGACCTCCGGTTGCTTTCACATGCATGCACATACTCACAGAAACACATGCTAAAACATACACAACATTAACCATCAGTGTTAATGCTTCCAAATATAGTGAGGGGTCAAGGTCACTGCACACCAAACTGCACAACATGCAGTGCAGAACATGGTCTCAATTAGTGGTTCTCAACATATTTTCCTTATACCTTGAAAAATTGCGGGAGGACACATCTTAATCATAATTTTTTTTGATAACACTTTACTTTAAACCTTGATGTATAATGCATTATAAAGGTAATGCAGGCATAACTTTTTCCATAAATAATTATACTAATAATAAATAAATAATAAAATAACAAATAAAATAAAATAAAATAAAATATCACTGACCCATCAGCCATCAGTGGAGAACCACTGATCTAAATGATCATCTCATATACCACCCAACAAACACACAATGCAAACTGACTTAACCCTTTGTTTAAAAACTTCTCAGAAGTTGTGATGGTGACTCAATTCAGGCACCTGCGGGAGGTCTATTTAGGCAAATAAGATCGCTGATTGGCGTGGGTGGGCCACTGACTCAAAATCCTACTGATTTCAGAGATTTTTCTTGCTGGGCTGTACAGATGCCTTTTATACACGAGAGACAATGAAGCCCTACACCAATCTTCCTCAAGCTGAAAGGGGCTTCACATAGAGCACAGCTGAAGCTTTGACGGTTTTAAGCTGTACTGAGAGAAGACAGACAGCAGTTACTTTAATGGGAGGATGTTATTGCTATGCAGAATGCAGTTTCTATTTTATTCTACATTCTATATGATTATAGGGTTGTCACCATACCAAAATTCAAGAAATCAATAGCAAAAACAGCATGATTCTCGATCCCACGTTCAAAACCATAGAAATATTCAATTGTAACTATCGAACACAGTTCTTTAATTGAATAAAACCTAAAATATTATTTAATTTTTAAAGTATTAATGTCAAGTAAAAACAATACCGTGTAAAACTTTAAAATAATTCAATATATTTAATACATATTTTTAAAAAATAAAATCACTTACTATATAATCACTTTAAATCACTTAAGTGAAATAAATATATATATATATATATATATATATATATATATATATATATTAAGTATTACACTAAATATCATATTTTAAATATTATTATTATTAATAATATTTTATCTTAACGATTTTTTTAACGGCCCTATTTTAACGATCTAAAACGCAAGTGTCAAAGCGCAAAGCGCAAGTAACTTTGTGGGCGGATCCCGGCGCTGTTGCTATTTTCCCGGCGGGATAAATGCCTCTTGCGCCTGGCGCAAATCTAAAAGGGGTTGGTCTGAAGTAGCTTCATTATTCATAGGTGTGGTTTGGGCGTAACGTGAAATAAACCAATCAGAGCGTCATCTCACATTCCCTTTAAGAGCAGGCGCGCTTGTTCTAAAGCCCCGTTCACACTACACGCGACCAAGCGACGCGATACCATTCATTTCAATGGGGAGCTGGCGATTTCCGGCGACACGTGCGACAGCGACCGTTGGCGACCGGATGGGGCGTGTCTGGCGACGCGACAAAGTTGAGATCTGTTTAACTTTATGCAAATGAGGAGCGACTTTCGGGAGCGACAACCAATAGGAGCGGAGCGCGTATGATCCTTCTCCACATCATTGGATGTCATTCATAAAGGCAACCAGTAGTGGGAACTCCCACTAGCGACCTCATCGCCAGCCACTGGCGACATGCAGCGACAAAGTCGCTTGTGGTGTGAACGGGGCTTAAAGCGGATTCCTATTATAACGGCGGACTTGCTAGGCGCGCGCCAGGAGCGGTTCACAGCCGAGGAGAGCAACGTTCTCGTCAGGGCCGTAAAACACAGAGAAGTGACATTGGGGATGGAGAACCCCACCCAAATTAACTTCTGTTAAACAGGCGTATGATAATTTGGGTAAATGTGTAAGCTACATGTATGCTTTTATAATAAATTATCTATCTATCTATCTATCTATCTATCTATCTATCTATCTATCTATCTATCTATCTATCTATCTATCTATCTATCTATCTATCTATCTATCTTTCTATCTATCTATCTATCTATCTATCTATCTATCTATCTATCTATCTATCTATCTATCTATCTATCTATCTATCTATCTATCTATCTATCTATCTATCTATCTATCTATCTATCTATCGTAATAATGTATGATTTGCAAAAATGAAAACTGCTGCTTAGATGAGAGAATCAAAGTGTATGCATTGATTATGGCCAAGCATGCGCCCTTAAAATAGCATAATGAACAACGCGCAACGCGCCACTGACTTTAGACTAGTTTTTTTCTGGTCAGTGGCACATTTGTTTTATAGAACAGCAAAATAGCATGAGGGAAAGTTTGCGCCGGAACACGCCTCCTCTTTACGCTGAACCGCCCCGGGGAGCGCAAGTGTATTTCTTAGTTAACCGACGTGTGTCTGTGGAGGGAAAAGCCTGCTTTGCACGGATGCAAAATAGGAATGATACATGCGTCAGTGTACAAAGTCATTTGCGGCGAGTGCAAGATAGGGCCCATTATGTCCAATATTCTGACACTAAACATGTATTATAAGGGTTTCATTAAAGGGGTCATATAATGGTACATGCACTTTTACAAGTTGATTGTACTGAAATGTGTGTTGGCAGTGCCTGTACACAACCATCATATAATGATAAAAATCCATCCAGTGTTTTTTTTTTAATCTCCTTATATGTTTTCCCGTCTCAAATTGAGCCGTTCGACCGTGTGACGTCACACGGTCGGACGCTCCTCCCACGATTGTTGATTGACAGCAGCGTTTCAACACAGACCCGCCCTGAGCGAGCTGTCATCATAGTCAGTCATTGTTGATGCGCTGGAATGGCGTCTAAGTGATTGTGGTGTTCTGTTCTTGGGTGTAATAACGAACACAGCAGTCCGAACCGCTGAAGACGCAGTGGCTGAGTTTTGTTTTCTAAGGGAATATTCCCTATGATCAACGTCAATGCGTTCATGTTTGCGCGAATCATTTCTCACTCAGGGTTTACACTCAGGGTACATTACGGCATGTTTTCTATGTACGACGTTCTCAATATAATTCATAATCCCACGTTTATAACGCGTTATGGTTATTGTGTTATTACATACTGTGTACGCAGGTGTTAAAGTTAACGTGGTAACACTACACTAAGCTTAATTTTGTAGATGGTTTATAACGGTGTCTGTTACTGATTAAGAAGTAATGTAAAAAAAAATCAAACTGATACGGTTGCACAGATGTGTCCTCAGAGACTCCCGCTGCCATTCTTTATATATATATATTTCTTCAAAATATACCCTCAACTGTTGTCAAGGCAACACTCCATGTGTGTTGTGTCAAAACGCCCCACAGAACAGAGGCGAGTTGAGCGAAGCTCATTATCATTTAAAGACACAAAATTAGTGTTTTCTTACAATACTAATGAGAATTTTTAATGAAAGTATATTACAAACTTTTTATTTAGACCCCAAAGAATCATATTAACTTGTATAAAAATGGCATTATATGACCCCTTTAATATCCTGCCAAGAAGGCCTTTTTGACCGAAGTACATTTGATTGCTTTCACACGTACAGTAGCTGCATTATTATGAGTGCATTTCACAGAGAGCACACACACACAGTGTCCCCGGTACATTTGGCATCCCTAATGACTAGAGGTTTGAATCTCTGAGCATAACTCCTGTATGATTCAAATGCAATCACTGACGTAGTGACCGACTCACTGGTAAGGCCTGACTCATTCAGTGTGATCAGACTGTGTGGGATCAGATCACACACACCAATGTGCCAACATTACTGGTCATTAAATTCACCACCTGCTGACTGCGCCTGGTCCAGAATTTGCCTGGTGTCACATTACTAATAGAGGCAAAGCTTGCAGATTGATCGTTTGCAGTGACAGAGTTTCCATGGTAACACAGGTACTTACAATGGGGCCGGGTGGACCCTGTGGACCCTCGCCTCCCTTCAGACCAGATGGACCCTGTGGAAGAGGGAGAGAGAGAGAGAGAGAGAAAGGTTTAATTCTCTAATGAGAGCTGTGCTTCAGTATCTGTCAAAGTGTCATCTGAGTCTCTGCATGTGTGCTTGAATATGTTTGTGCCAGTATATGGCAGCTGTTTGTACTATATGTCTACAAGAAATACAGCCCAGAGTGCTTATTAAACTGGCAATCTCCCTATTTCCTACATCAGAAACCCAGCGCTGGCAGTGCATTGTCATGTGACGCCAAGGACACGTCACTCTCCTTCCATCAAGCCATAATCTGAGTCATGAAAAACATTTGAACCAGCTAAAAGTAAACATCAAAACAACAAGTGATGGCAAATTCAATTGTTGTTTATTGAAATCATACTGGCTTTGGGTTTCAAATGTGACTTTCAGCAACACTTGATTCATGAAAGATGTAACTAATGGAGATTGAAATTCATCAAGTTGGCAGATGCTATTTCTTAAACTAAAAACAAAACTTTGATTATATTCAGTCCCACAGTCTAAATACTCTTAATGAAGAAAAACAAGTATGGACATTTCCAAAGTCCCCATGACATACACTTCTTTTGAGTTGCCCAATTGTGGCAGTTTGTTATGCAGAAAGTAATTTACAGGCCCACATCAGAGGGATAATAAATATGTCATACTGAATCTCAGAAACTGACTGAAAGTGAGATAAAGGTTAGCATTTTTCTTTAGGAGAGTGCAATATATCATTATAGCACCTCGTAAATATCTAGGCAGACAGTAAAATCTGACTAGATAGTTGAAACACTTCTAAAACGCATACAGTATGCAACAAGAGATTATGCGGGTGCACACATATTTCTTTTCAATACATTTTTGGCCTGAAAGTCAATATGAAATCAAAATCATACTTTTACATATTACTGGCTTTATTGTGCACTGCAATACAGTGCAATTTATTTCTATGCAAGATGTGTTTCAAAAGCTTACTAAATGTCTTAATGCATGTTAAATATGTCAGTTAATCTTCACAAGCCTCAGTCTTATAGTTAGGACTGTACCCTTTCCTGAGGCATTCATCCAGTGTGAGCATTTGCATGAACAGCAGGCGGTTAAGCAGCTAATGGCCATTTGGTGGGACACATGATATTAACTTGTTTGTTCTTACCGCTGCGCCAGGAAGCCCCCTTTGTCCTGGGAACCCTTTCAATCCGGCAGGGCCAGGTTTCCCAGAACCCCCCTGAGGACCTGGATCACCCTTCAAGGAGAGAGACGATGAGATTTAGTCCTCTAACTTAAAAAAACACCAATTATCTGCCAGCTACACATTATGAAATTGGACAGAACATTATGTGAATTCTCTCAAATTATTAGCCTTGAATCATCTGAAGTAAACGTGTTTAGCACACCATACCTTTCCACCTTCTTTGCCAGCAGCTCCGGGAAGACCTTGCTCTCCAGGGGGCCCTGGTGATCCAGGATGTCCTCTCTCTCCAACGGGACCAGTTTCTCCTGTAGATCCCTTTCAAATTCCAATTTAAACAGGTTTTTAATTAAACTTCTGGCTAACTTCAGGAGATGTTTTATCAGAGCAATGTGTTGGTATTTTTTTCCTGCTTATATAGAACAATAACTGTTCAAGCTCACCTGTGGGCCAACAACACCTCCAGGTCCAGGAGGTCCTGTTTTTCCTTGAAAACCCTGTGGTGAGAATAAACATAGTCATTATGAGAGATTACATGCAATTTATTCTAGTTATCACATGTGTGTGGAAGTAATCGTAGAGCAAAGAAAAATCTGATTGATTGTAAACTATGTAAATATCACTAAACTGTACAAATCCAGCCTGTCCTTTTCCCTAAATCAGTGAAAGATAAGTGCAGTATCATCATCTTGAAAATCACAAAGGAGAGACATTCAATATAAAACGAGTTTCTCTTTTTAGCAGTCCATCTCTCTGACATTCTTAATTAGAAACAGAGAGATAGATAGACCTGAACAGTATCGCACCTTGACACTGTCGGCAGATAAAAGGTAATACACCATAAAGACTGTCCACAACATTTCTTCCTCTTTACTCCAGAGACAGAAAACACTTATAAAGATAAAATTATACTCACAGTCTCTCCTCGCTGTCCAGGGTGACCGGGCAATCCGTCCTTTCCAGCAGGCCCCTGGGGGTTTTACAAAATTGAAACCGATTAATTGAGATTAAAACATTAATTATTATATAATAGACTTATAGACACGTGGTTTTCATTCTTTCATGTTTGTGGTTTAATTGTTACAGTTAGACTATTTGAGCTACAGTATAGACAATCTAGCTCTGTCGCCTTACAGAAAGGAGGTCCCTGGTTCGATTCCTGGGTTTGCATGTTCTCCCTGTGTCCACTCCGGTTTCACCCACAATTCAAAAACATGCAGTATAGGTGAATTGGAGATGCTAAATTATCCATAGGTGTGAATGCGTGTGTGTGTGAGTCCCAAGCCATGTAATGGGAGGGTAGAGGAAAGACCTGGCAACCTACCCCAGAAAAATCAATGCCAAGAAAATTCATGGACAGTCTCTCCCGTTTGGCAAGAGACGGCCCATTGAATCACTAAGAGTCGGATACGACTGAAATGGTTAATGAATGAATGAATAGACAGCTTAATGTATGGAAGCCCATTTCGGCCAGATAAGAAAAAATAACAGCAATGTTTTAGTAAACCATAATTATGATATAAATTCATAATTATGACATAAAAGATGAAATTATGAGACCAGTCATAATTATAAGATAAAAAGTCAAAATTAGGACCCTAAAAGTCATAATTACAATTTCAACTTGTCATAATTAAGAGTTTTTTGTCATAATTAGGACTTCTAATGACATAACTATGACATAAAAAGTCATTTATGTGAATAAATTATGTGAAGTGGCAGAAATGGACTTCCATACTAATGTGAGTCAAAGAGTAGATTAACTTAGATTAGAATAACTCAAAAGCATATGAAATTGACGAAAGTACATACAGGTGGGCCTTTGGGGCCTGGCAATCCAACAGGGCCCTGAGGTCCTTGGGGTCCCTAAAACATGGAACAAAAAAAATTAAGGGAGACGTAAAGGTTGATGAATACAACTGAACTGGAGAAATAATTCAACCATCACTTACTCTCTCTCCTGGGCCACCAGATGGTCCATCATTTCCTGATGTTCCCTAAAACAGAAACAAAGCTGCCTGTTACAAGAAAACATTCGCAGATAGCATTGACTATTTGAGTTAGCTGAATAAGGACTGGTGAAGCCTGACCTTTGGTCCAGGTTTTCCTGTTGGACCTCTGGCACCTCTTCCGCCACGGGGACCCTGAGATCAAGTGTTATTAGCGAAGCCTTATGCATCATTAGTGTATGTGGAAAAAAGTTTTCTTTTCTACTGAAAAGATTCAAACTTGTACATACCGTTGGACCTCTTTGTCCTCTTGGACCTGCTTTACCAGCAATACCCTAAAAAACAAAACCAACCTTTAAAATTCCAACCTTAACATTACAATTAGGCCCTAAAACTAACTTTTTGCCACACTGGCCATACATTTTTTTTACCAGCCTGAAACCGGCATTAATAACACAACATTTTTAGATTCCAGTGAAAATTCACAACTCTCTCTTCTAATTTCGATATTTCACAGCTAAAACTGCTAGCCTTACTAATATAAATTTAAAACATTATTAAAGACAAGTAAAAAATAAATAAATAAAAATAAGAACAAATAATAAAATTATAAGCAAAAGCACAAATAAGTACAATATAACAAAGACACAAATGAAATAAACAGTGCTTTTCTAGGGTTTTCAGGTAGGTCTGACAGTAGTTTTCAGGTACAGAAATTTAATAAAGTAAGCAAATGTAAAATAACACTGCATAGTCTTCACTGTATAAATTAAAACATCATTATTAGTTCATCCTTATTTAAGTTACAAAATATATTCAGTCAAGAGCAGTGAGTGATTTTTTCTTTGCCCTTTTTTGTTTGATTAACATTAAAAACACAGACAGCAGCAGGAATATTAGGCTGCTGTCACTTTAAGAGCAAATGCACGGATCTAATATACTGATACACATGCGCTTACTTTCTCAACTGTTTACGTTCACTTAAGACATAACCAACTATGTTTACTATGATCCTTGCTTTTTTCACACAATTTTGTGTGAATTTGTGCGCTCAAGTGCAGGAAGACGTAAAGAGAGCTCAGTTCAGTATTCGAGCACTGTCTGAGACGAGGCTTTCTGGGCGAGCGCTTCGGATGTGTTGCGCACCCAAAACTTTCCACACAGTGCACGAGTAACAAAATGAGCTCTCTTTCGATTCTTTTTGAATATTGTCAAGTCTTTTGTGACGATGCAGCGCTGGCCCGCCAACTCTCCCGAGTGTTGTTCACGTTCATGCATTGTTTGAATTCATTCAAATGAATACCATTAAAATGTTACGGTTGTTCTGCCGAATAATGCTATGCTAGCAATCAGATTGTGCCACCAGCAATATATTTCTCATTGTTTTAAGGGTAGGTTTAGGGTAGGGCTAGGCATAGACATTATTAAAGCCTCCAACCACATGAATATGATGCTGGTAGCACAATCTGATAGGTAGCATTTATCACCGGCCAACTGGCGAGTGACACCGTTTCATATAAAAGCATTTGACGCGTGGTAAGTGTTAGTTTTTGGGCCTGGTTGCAAACACTGTGAGTTCTAGGACTAGTCAACTTCTGGTATAGGTTGTTTGTAATCAGAACCAGAGAAGTACAATAGAAATGGCTCTAGTCAGGCTGTAAAATAAAATGCCCTTATACATACCCTTCCTCCCTTCTCACCATTGGCTCCAGGGAAGCCAGAGAAACCAGTAGAGCCCTGTAGATGGAGACAGATTATTAGGCACATTGAGGGGAGTAGTTTTCAGATACACAGCATAAATGACACTTATTTCACTTCAAAAGTATCCAATATCCGTCCCAACCTTTTAAACATGCCAAAAAACTTTTGGTTGAGCAAAAGTGAAGCTGTGTTGACACAGAGGATGTCCTTGAGGAATAATTTAACAACATTACTGCTAATGCTAACATTTGTGAGTGATACTCAGAGGGCTAGCTTTTGGAGTTGATAAACATGAGCAGTGTGTGCTTGTTAGCACAAGAACAGGAGAAATTGAAGGTCGAATTATTTTGGCAGGGAAGAAGGGGAAGCGGCCCATGCACAATGGAAACGCATCAGTAATTTACTCCACAGGATGGTCGCCTGCACAAGATAATGGAGCAGATCAAACAGACAACTGCAAATACACACACAAAACAATGGAACACTGAGGTGGACCAACAGCAATTTCCCATCCCCACTGAAAGTCAATGCTAATCACAATGCTCCAGCTCCGCTCTGCGTTTTACATTTTCCAAATGATGTATTATTTTAGATATCTGATATATAATTTTTTAAAGTGCCCCTTTTATGCTTTTTCGGAAATTACCTTTCATGTAGTATGTAATATAGATGTTTGTGAATGTAAATGGTCTGCAAAGTTTCAAAGATCAAAGTGCACGATAAATGGATTTATTATCTCCCAAAAGAAAGAATCGATTCCGAACTGCCTGAAACGAGTCGTCGTCAGTAATTCCAGTCTCACTTCCCGCACAAACCTACGTAGGTTTGTAACAAATTTGCATAATGCCAGTCTATGGTCTTCATTGGCTGCCCTACTTTGACCTGTCCTCAAACATGTATTTGTAGCTGAGGCCTGGTTCATGTTGCTGACATTTTCTGTGCTGCGAAAGCAAATACACTTTCTATGCACTTCCACAAATTGATATGTTAAAACTGACGCCATATAGTTTCTGTTCATATCAATGTGTAAAAAAAGCGCTGAGGAAGCCTCAGGAGCTGTAATTCAGATATGGTAATGGACGTTTAGTTTCCTACATGCGCTGTAAGCGGTAGACCAATCACAACAGACTGTGCTGTCTGACCAATCAGAGCAGAGTAGGCTCTTGGAAAGGAGGGGTTTAGAGAGACTGAATCTTTGAACAAACTGTTTTCAAACACTGAGGAATTAGATAATGCTGCAATGTATATAATGAGAAAATTAAAAGTGTTTTTGACCTTGGATGCATGTTAACCTATTGTAGGAGACCTCCGAAACCTCTAAAATAGTATAATGGGGGCACTTTAAATGAAAAAACAAAACAAAACAAAGAAACAGCATTTGGAAAGTTGCATGCTTCATCAAAATACTAACATTAGCCCATTAACATGTTATGATCATGATGAATTTGTAAAAATTCCAAATCCAAATTTTGTAAAAAAAAAAAAAAAAAATGTTTATAAAAAATAAAATGTACAACTTTTTATATATAATTATTAATACAATTATATAATTATTATTAAAAATAAATTATAAATACTACAGATATTATTAAATTATTTGTGTTTTAAAAAATGACTAAGTGAATGTTAGATGACGGAAAAGGTAATCCATGTAAAAACAGAGGAAATGAGAAGAACAATGAAATATCTAAAATATCAACCAATATCAATAGATGAAAAAAACATCAAAACCAGGTGATATGATACTGATATATTGCCACCCTTAATAGGAGTGAGAAAGAGAGAGAGAGAAAAAAACCCCACTGGACTCAAAAAACCAACTCATCACTTCCAGGAAAAAAAAAAAAAAACCTCCTCACAAGCTCTGAACAGAACCCTGAACAGGCTGAACATTACTTACAAAAATACAGTAGTGGAAAATGGAAACCCAGTGTCAAAATAGCTGACAAAGCAAGTTGTAGACTACTTCAAAATCACTTTCCATAACTTGTTATTCAAACAAAAACCAGGGAATTCAAGGTGTATGAGTGGACTAGCCTGTATACTGAATCAAATTATCCTTTTGTTGATGTTAGCAAGCTGAACTGACTGAATAAGCTGACAAACGTCACAACACAAACTGTATCTGCACAGTCTTGAGCTGTTCACAGGCCTGCACTTATTGTATGCTGGGTGGCTGAGAGACAGTCAGTGTCATGGAGAATGAGTTGATCCTTTTAAATCTGTTAACACAGGCTCAGAGAACAGCAGGCCTTGCATGTCAAACGCAGCGCTTGGACAAATATGAAGAAAACAGTACAGACAGTGGCACTGTTGATGATAACTTTTGTTTCATTAAAAGTTAATGTCTAATTGTGTGATTGCTTTTGTTTGTAAATAATGACCTAGAAATAGATAATGTTCAAAAAATAAAAATAACTTATGAAATGATAATAAAGCAGCAAAAATAAACTTGTCAGCACTAACCTTAGGACCTTGTCTTCCTGGGTAGCCAGGCAAACCTGGAACACCAAGTTTCCCCTAAAAACAAAAATAAGAACACACTCTAGGTCTGCATATATTCATTTGGAGTTTTTAAAAAATCATCAGGCCCTATACAGAAACAATAAAGCATTTCAGCACACTGCACAAACAGCAAAAACATATGGGAGCTGTAATGGAGTATTTGGCTGCCCTTTCAGAATCAATTTAAGAGTTATGAGTTCACACGTGAATTAATAATCCCTGACAGACACTTAAGTGCCCCAAAAACACTAGTGTTGATTTCTCCAGGGCTGGTCATTTTAAGTACTTTGCCATTATATTCAACATAATGAGTTTTAAACTGACCTTCTCTCCTGCCGTGCCCATAGGACCAGCCTCTCCGGAGGGACCTGATTTACCTTTGGGCCCCTCTGGTCCGTCTTCTCCTCTGGAGCCCAAAACACCACCCTCTCCCTGAACATCAGCAACAATGGACAAACATTACACTCGTTTCATAACAAACACAATGGGAAAAACTCAAACAAGTGATAAATGAGTGGTTATGAGTGCTGATTGAAATTAAATAAGCAAAGTTGTTACTCACCTTGTCACCCTTCAGGCCCATGTCACCCTTGAACCCAGGAAAACCATCTTCTCCCTAAAATCAATAGAACTTAAGTCATTTATGTGGAATATACAGACAGATAGATAGCTAAATAGCCATATGATGATAATAATTAATAGTTTTGCAAAATTTCCAAGTGAAAATCTGATAAACTGAATAAACTATTAAGAATCTTCTTTCAAAAACTATTTAAGAACATAATGGCTAAATGCTGGCATCTAGTGGCCATAGTGTAACTTGCTGGTTCATGCTAGTTTAGACCGAGAAGAAATGAAATCATAATTATCTAAGATTGTCAGAATGTTAATTTAACAACCTGTTCTCCCAGAAGTGTTCTTGAATTTTAAATGTTGAGCATAATATTACATATCAATAACAATATATTTTATAGACATAAAAGTCTTGATTCTTTCTAAATGAAACACTGACACTTGGTGGCCACTGTAGAGGATACAACCAGAAGCAGATCAAGTCACAACATTGTGTATATACTGTACAACAATAATTTGCACATATTGTATTATCACACATATTAAGACAATTCTTCAGTATTTTTTTCTGCTTACATCCAGTCTTGTGATTTTGCATTACATCTATCTGAGGCCATTTTGGTGCAGAAAGTCACTGAAATTGTCTTTTAGCTATTGTTCTGTCATCTGTGAGCCTCGTTTTAGGGGCTGACCCAAAAGCTCATTCGTGGAGACAGAGGACAGGGTCATTTGCTTACCTTCTCGCCTTTGCCGCCCTTCAAGCCACGAACGCCCTCGGCACCCTAAATGGACAGAACAGTGAATAGAGGCTCTAATGGATAGACTAAGAGCACATAATGCTGATAATAAAGAAAAAGTGAGATGAAGAAAATCAAAGCTGTTTACCTTCACACCTCGGGGGCCGGGATAGCCAATGGACCCCTGGGGACCTGTGTGGCCCTATAAGGAAGAGAGTAAATATAATAACACTGAATCAATCTGGATTAATAGAGGGGAATTAGGTTTTAAACTTCTAAAGGGTTCACACATTAAGTGTTAATTAAAGAGACAGAGAAATGGCTTTCATTTTGTTACTGAGCTTTTAGACAGCTGCAAAACAGCACCTTGAAGGCACTTCAAGCACTCATTTCGAGACAAAACTGAAAATACACTCACAGCTGCTCCTTTCTCCCCGGGAGGACCCTCTTTCCCAGGATGACCCTGTGCAAGGATTACAAACAAAAATCTCCTGATGTTGATGTGTTTATGAATGGTAAAAAGATAGAAATAGTTAATGAGTTCAATTATCTTGACATAATATTGGACTCAAATCTCAGTTTTAAAAAACATAAAGAAAATGGTGAGGAATATTAAATATAACTTGGCAAATTTTAGACAAATTAGACAATGTCTCTCTGTTGATGTAGCTAAGATTTTTATGCATATCCCTTCTCACATGTCTTACTGTCTGACATGTCGGGGTCAAGCTGGTGAAACTGTAATTAAACCCTTAAAATCCCTATATAAACAGACATTTTTAGATAAAAAACCAAACCATTTTCATTATTATAGGATCATAGAGAAACATAATTTTTTATTTTTTGAACTTTGACAACTTTTTTCAAGTTTGTGTATGGTTTATAAAATCTTAAATGGCTTGGCTCCTTCTGTAATATGTGACTTTTGTCATTTTCGCTCTGAAAACTCTACCAGATTATCATCCATGAGTAATTGTCTGGTTCCCTTTCGTCGTTCTGTATTTGGACTATCGTCTTTCGCAGTGAAAGCTACTAATCAGTGGAATGCCCTACCAGAGGATATAAAAGGGTGTAACGCTCTTGGTCTTTTTACATTGAAGTTAAAATCTTTTTTTTATTTTAATCGAACCAACACTGTAAACATTGAGATTGTTGGAGTTTAATTTAATTTAATATATACATTTTTTTGGCCCTGATAGTATGTGTGTGTACAGTATGGATGTTTTTATTGTATGTGAACACATAGATATTGTCTGTGCACTTTTATGTTAGTGTTGACCTGCCTGGGGACTACGGATGAAAATTAGCCTTTGGCTAATTCCGGAACAATGCATAAAATGGAAACATTTATGTTAAAAATTGCACATGGTCCCTTTATTAAAAAAACAAACAAAAAACATCTTCAAGTCTGAAAGTAATGTGAGGCACATGCAGCTATGGTCTTGTGGGTTCAGTGTACAGTAATATACAGTATGAATAGCATTAAAAATTCCAGTGTAAGAATTACTTTGTGCAGGAAAAAATTATTTTAGGTTTGTGCATGAGTAAGAACTGAAATTTAACTGAGGTAGCAAAAAAATGTAATTGGAATTTGAAATTTGATTCCAATCCAAGTTTGATTTGATTCCAAGTAGAATAAAAATGGAATTAAATAACATTTACATACATTTATTTCATGATAAATATGTCTTCATACACAACATAGACTAACGTTCAAAACTTTAAGATCAGTAAGATTTTTTTAAAACTTTCATTCAGCCAGTTAAATTAATCAAAATGATCATCAAAACTACTCAAAAGTGACAGTAAAACATTTACATTGTGAAAAAAAATAAGTTAATTTGAATTTTCTATTCATCAAAATACTGGGGGAAATTTGTTGAGCAACAAATCAGCATTTTAGAATGATCTCTGAAGGATCGTGTTACAGTTTAAAATATGCAGCATTAAAATAGGAAAATTGTAATGTTCTGCAATACTTTTGTTTTTACTATATTTTCAGTCAAATAAATTAAGCATAAGGGAGTTCTTTCAAGCACATACAAAATCTCAATAACCCCAAACAGTTTTTTTTATTTGTGAGATGTTTATATATTTTATTTGCGAAATATTATTAATATTTTTATTACAATGAAAAAAGAGAAAACTATTAAATACAATATTGTTATTCTCTATTACAATAACATTCCAATAAATACAATACAAATATAAAAATATATACTTAGACTATTTACCATTCAATATTTTGCTAAATAAACAATAAATATTAACTACATTTAAAAAATAGTTTTAATATAATTTAGATATTTTTATTCTATACATATTAGATAGTTATTCATATTCAATGGCACCTAAATAACTATTAAACATATTTTAAAAATATATATTAAAATAAATAGTCTTATAGAATTTTATGGACCACAGCAGAAGTACAATTATTTTCCCAGAATGCTCTATTTAAAGTCTTCAAAATGGAGTCAATCCACATAAAACAGGCTGTAAAAGTGAAAACAAAGGTCTCTGTTTTTGCTCATTTTGATGAAAGCCCTCTGTTGTGTCTGTGTTGAATTTCTCTGAACTGCAATTCAGTAAATTCCAATTCCTGTCATTCCAATTCAAATGTTCAACTCATGAAATGAATGCAGCCAACACTTCAATTCTAAATTGTGGGAATAAAATATACATTCCCCTCAAGCCAGGATCATTATCAAGCTAGTTAATGGTTAATTATATTTTTGATATGAACGCAGAGAATTAGGGGAGGGGAGAATACAAATTTAAGAAAAGTCCACTTACAGGAGGCCCATCCGCCCCAGCCAGCCCATGGAGCCCCTGTTTTCCACCGGGACCCTATGAGAGAGAGAAAGAAAGAGGATAAGTGAGAAAAGAAGGAAGAAAGAGAAGAGGGAGGAAAAACAAACACAATTAAGGCTGTGATTACTGGTGCGCCCAAGTGATTCGCTGGGCAACTTTTATAAGCAGTTCACTCCTAAAGCACTTCATTTTCATCTTTTTCCTCTTGGTAAGGAAGAGATCTAATCATATGGTACGTCTGGAAACACTCCACCACTTCTGGAGTCACATTTCAGACTCTTTCTGGCCTCCTTCCAGGAGCCCTGACAAAATGCTTGTCTGAGAGACTAACCAATGACAGTTTTGTGTGTAAGCATATATCCTGCTTGTTGAAGCATTAGCGAGTCTTGAGGTGTGTGTGTGTGTGTGTGTGTGTGTGTGTGTGTGTGTGTGCGCGTGTGGTTTTTCTCTAGTCAGCATTGATCTGATGGCAACCTACAGCTCAGAAACCGAGGAGTCTGTTGAATCGTTTATAGGGTTAGGGCAGAAAAACGCCGCCTGTAATAACAAAGACGATGGCTGCTGGGGTGTACGACTTTGATTCACACACTCACTTTCTCTCCAGGTGGACCAATCGGGCCTTGAGGACCAGGCAGACCCTGCAAGACAAGGTTTCCAAAGTTAGACAGTACAACATGGAGACTTCAAGGGAAATCTGATAGTAAAGTTTATATTGGAAAAAGCTATGGGCACCTCTCAGTCAAATCTAAGAAAGAATGTCGAACAGGATACATTATTCTGTGTGTCTGTGCGTGAGTGTGTGAATATATGAGTCCTATTACAAACTTATGGAGCCTGGATGTGGATTTAGATTAATGGATCTACCAGTTTTCGTTGCAGTCTTTCAATGACAGTTCATCAGGCTCTACATTTAACTGAATAAGTGAAAAACAGAGCAGAGAAAGAGACTGCAGGAGAATGAATGACCCCATGAAGTCATTAAACATGTGTTTTCCTTTTTCTGTGTGGACGTATTTACAATTGAAATAGGAAGTTTGGGTGGGATATATCGAAGGGGTGGTCTCCCTTTTTCTTTTAAACTAGCCACAAGGCTATAGCTACTATCACATCCATTAACATGATTTGCTACTTGCTAGTCAGTTGTGGCTGGTATTGGGGGAGGGACTTTCTCATTCTAGAGAGCATCTGATTGGACAAAAATCTGTGTAGTAGCTACAACATGAATCATCAATAGTTTTGGTCCATTTACACTACCGTTCAGAAGTTTAGGGTCAAAACAGTTTACTGTAAACATTTATGTTTACAGTAAAAACAGCAATATTTTGAAATATTATTACAATTTAAAATAACAGTTTTCTATTTGGATATATTTTATATGTGATGGCACAGCTAAATTTTCAGCATAATTACTCCAGTTTTCAGTCACATGATCCTTCAGAATCATTCTGATATGATGATTTGCTGCTCAAGAAACATTTCTTGTTATTATCAATGTTGAAAACAGTTTGTGCTGCTCAATATTGTTGTAGAAACATTGATCATTTTTTTGTTGTTGGATGTTTTAATGAATAGAAAGGTCAAAAGAAGAACATTTATTTGAAATAGAAGACTTTTGTAGCATTATAAATGTATATAATTTTTGATAATAAATTCCAAATTCATGTATCCTTGCTGAATAAAAGTATTAATTTATGTAAAAAAAAAAAGAGTAATGACCCCAAAGGTTTGAACAGTATGTATATCTACAAAAGGTTATTTTTGTCAACTTTTAGGAGCACACTGGTGTATAGATGACCTCAAAGATAATAGTGAAAGTCTAAAAGCCTTTCATGGTATGCGGGGAAGTGAATTATTCTTGTTTAGAAAAACACAATTAAGTTTCCCAAGAGAAAGACAGAGAGAGAAAAGAGCAGACTGACAAAAGTTGATTGATTGACGGATACCTACATGTGGACCGGTGCTACCCTGTTGCCCATGGGGTCCTGGCTCTCCTTGAGGACCCTGTTATAACATTTAATAGAAACACTTTAGTACATAACACAATCATTCCTAAACTTCAATTCTCCAGGGAGCCTGACAGTTTAGACAGATATGAAAAACAGCCCCCATACCTCAAACTCCAAAAATACTCTACATGTTGAACAACAGACACGTGTAATATTGCAAATCCATCTTTTTCCATTGGCATTCCTTCGCAGCCTACTGTAATAAAATCGATTATAGCAGCTTTAAACCACTGAGAAAGAGGAAGAGACACGGATGGGTAATTTTTTTTATAACAAACTGCATACAGTAAGAAAGGTGGTTGTAGTTAAAGTGAGACCTTGAGTGAAAGAAAAGCTGTTCAAATAAAATGTAAAATTTGGTAACACTTTATTTTGATTGGCCACTTAAGACATTCTACTAACTATATCTAATGAGAGTTAGTTGATATGTAGTTGACAAGTTATTATAGTTAGTAGAGTGTCTAAAGTGGACCATCGGAATAAAGAGTAACAGTAAACAGTAAACTTTTTTTGTTTGATTTTATTTGACTGAAATTAACTTCAGTGCAACCTAAATTAGTTGATTTGCTATGAAATTGGACCAAACACTAATACTATACTTGTAATGATGCATAACTGTCAGCTACGTTAATGAAGCGAGACAACATGAACACCTAATCATGAAATTAATGTAAACACAATGAGTTAAGGCACTGTTATGATTATTATTTATTTCATTTTTATTAAATAGGGCACTTTTTATTTGTGGCAACAGTCACTTGCAGTGGTGTCTGAAACCATAGTGGACGTTATTGAGTGGACTCATTCAATCCCATTATGCACCGCAATAATGAGTGTACAACTGATGTACGCTCAGTGGCTAGAGAACACCCATAATGCACTGCGAGAGTCGCGTGCCAAATGAACTCCCCTGTCTCATCACCAGAAGGTCCATCCATCCATTTTCCAAACCGCTGGTCAAATGTAGGTACAGTGTAATATCATACAGGTATAAAATTCCTTTTTAATTGATTATTAAATTGTTTAAGATTTATAGATAGATTCCATGATAGAGTTTAAAATAAATATTTTCATTACTACTGGAGCAGCCAGTTTGCCACAGTTCAAATTATTTTTATACAGCAAGCAAAAACTGTGCAAAAGCGCCAGCCCTTCCGGCGCACTCAGTGTCCGAATTCACTCACTCGTTTTCATTTACTTCCTCAAGTGAATTACATTAGTGGACTAATGTAGAGACAAGTGAACGAGGTTATAGGGGGTGATTTCGAACACAGCCCTTGTATCTCTAAATGAATCCTTGCATATTTTAGTGGCATACTTCATATCTTCTTAATTTCAGCACATTCTGATCACCCTCCAGCAGCTACAGTAATGGTGACATTAGCTCTCTCCAGCCAGGCCTACTGTGCTTCTCTTATCTAATAGTCTTATTTAGATGTGACCCTTGCTCAGGACAACAGATATGTTTCAGAGAGGTCAGATGTTGTCAGTAACAACAATTAACCAAGAAACTCCTTCATGAGGCCTAAAGCCCATAGGCGGCTCTCTATTCTGTGATAACCACACTATTAAAGAAGGGGAGAGGAAATCCTTACCATATTTCCTTTAGGGCCAGGTGGTCCATCCAATCCAGGAAGACCCTGCATTTGTATAAAACAGCAGTGTCTAGTTGTGACTTTAAAACTATATGGATAGATGTACAGGGATTAAGGAAGTAATTTGGTGGTACATACACGCTGTCCAGCGGTCCCAGCAGATCCTCTGGGGCCCAGCAGTCCTCTTGGACCCTAATGATCAACAAAAAGGACATGTCATTAGAATTCATTAGACCATTATACTGAATACAAGAGGTCTTCAACCTTTTTCAGACCACAGATCCCTTGGTGTATAGAATATGGAGCATGGACCCTCTTCTACATGTTTGTTGTATTTTGAGTAACAGCAAGAAGTGTTGGAGGACATGGGTTTACATAATCAGATTACTTTTTTCAAGTAACCAGTAAAGTGATGCATTACTTTTAAATTTACAACAAAAATTGTTACTTTTTTAAATAAGTTAAGCAAATTACTTTGTTTTCCCATTTATTGACTGACACCTCTCCTGTCCCCATGTTGAGAGAAATCGTGAGTAAGTGCAGAGCCGTTGTGTGTGGTGTCAACATGATGGTTATTGTAGTTCTAGACTAAAGGTCCATTCACACCAAGAACGATAACTATAAAGATAACTATATTAGCGTCCACACAAGCAGACGATATCATTCTGTTTACTCTAAGCGCGTGCTTGTCTGTCACTTTAAATGCTCGAGCTCGTTACAGCAGGATGGATTCTGATTGGCTGTCAATGTTTTTTATTGTTCATCCGCTGGATAAAATCATTCTGAAAGTGATCCCATTGATATTGTTTCTCTGTGCCGTTATCGTTATAGCTGTGGTGTGAACTGCTATTATTTAATATTGAGAATGATTTTTAAAACTATATCTTTATCGTTATCTTTATAGTTAAAGATTGTTCACACGTTCACACGTCCTTGGTGTGAACGGGCCCTAAATGTGAGCTCGCATTTAGTCATCTCACATGCACAAAAAGTCAGTTTTCAGTTTTCCTTGGTGTGAACGGGCCCTAAATGTGAGCTCGCATTTAGTCATCTCACATGCACAAAAAGTCAGTTTTCAGTATTCATCAAAATGAATCAAAACAGTGAAGTACAAAACTCAGAATATTACACAAACCTCCAATAATTCAATTAAGTTAAATAACACATAAACTTCATGTATTTAATCTCGCTTTATTAACCAATGTTTTGCTGCTGACTTTCGATGATCCATTTTAACCATACTAAGCAACAATTACTCTAAATAAACATCACATTTGTTTTTCTTTCTTTTTTTTTTAATTGCAGAAGAATAGTCCACGGGAGACAAAACTCTATATTCAGCAATCTAGAATGGCAGCACAGCTGAAAGGTTTGTTTGAGTTGCGCCCTCTACTGAATTCGCATTTCCTTTAGCCTGAGGCTTATTCATTTCACTTTTGGTGTGAAAAGGGCCTTTACAACTTTTTTTGTTGTAGTTATTAAAAAAAGATGCTACATGTTAACTACTCTCTTTAAAGTATTAGTAGGCTGTCAGCCTAATATCTGCTAAAACTTTATTTTGATGGTACCCCAACAGTCATTCTACTAACCCGAACACCTAACCTTAAACGTTAAACTCTCTAATGAGAGTTAGTTGACATGTAGTTGCAAAGTTGCTTATAGCTAGAAGAATGTCTGAAGTGGGCCATCAAAATAAACTGTAACCTGTTTTGGTTTAATGCTTATTTTATTCAGTCATTGTTTTAGTCAGTCACATGTTTTAAGTGTCTACTTTGTGATCTAGACTGGTTCAAGCTTCAATAATATCTGCATACTGTGTTTTGATTAAAGGTGTGGTAAGCGATATTTGAAAAAAGCTGTTTGAAAGTTGGTCGGACCGACAGAACCAGACACAACAACAAATGTGTAGCCAATCAGCATTAGGGAGCGTATGGCGGTGGAGGAGAGAGAACGAGCAAGAGGGAGATTTGAAGAAAGACTGCAGAAATAGAGATGGCTGATAGACATTACAAAAGAAAAAAAGGTCATAAGAATATCACTGGAAAATGAAGGGTAATGATCAGGGTTTTAGGACCCGTGTAACTATTAGAAAAGCGCTGAAGAGAGCTAACCGGGAAGGCCTGAAAACAGATGCGGAGGTTCCACTCCATACGCGAGTAACACTGGTTTTGAGTGTCATTGTTTGTCTGGAACAACAAACTCTTGTTTGTATTTACTCTTTTGTATGCATGTTCATTTTTTTGTGCTTTCTTGTCGTTTGTTCATCATCTTTGCTTTATTTTTCGTGAAGCATTATTTTGTTGCGCTTATGCTACGATAAATAGACATCCACTCTTGCATTGCGTGTGTAACGGAGGCCAGCTAGTGAGAGTTGTGCAAGCTGATGACTGCAGAGAATGCAGTGTTTACTGTTTAGCGTCCTTGTTAGTGCACCCGCCTCGCCGTGCCCGCGATCGGGGTTCGATACCGACTCGGAGAAGGGTGGTTTGGTTAGGATTGGAGGGTGAGCTTTGAAGGCGGAGCAAGGAAGAGAGGGGTGTGTTTGTTTGGGTTGATTTCAAATATCAACAATGTTCAGCAATGACTTTGAGAAATAACATACTGCACCTTTAAGTCAGAGAAACATATTAAAATAATGTAAAAGGGAAGATACAGATTAATTATTATTTTTACAGTCAGAACAGAACATGAGGTTTAAGAAAGGAAACCTTAACATGTATTTTTTATTACTTCATTTAAAAATGGTTTAGAGACAACTATGTAAAACAGAAACAAAGGCAAATTAGGTTTTTGCTATCGACCCAAAGGTTCACTGACTCGATCCAATTAGATTCCACTTCTTCAGGGCTGATTCTGTTATTTGTTCGATCTCTGCTGATGGAGTATTTAGTCAAAGAGTGAGTGAAATGTGTGAGACCATTCGTGTGTCGTGAGAAACAGAGAAAGAAAGAGAGAGGAAGAAAATAGAAAACTGCAGCACTCCCTTTCTTTACATAGCCATTACCTCAATGAGCAACAAATACTGAGATTTGAGGTGGAAAGAGCAGGGTGGGGCACACCTCGGGAAGAGTGATTATATAGTTAGGCATAAAGTGAGGTGATTAACCTTCATTTTCTTTTCTGAGAGATCCACAAAGTCTCAAAAAGATACTTAATGTAGATAGTATCAAGTTGATACTTCATGACTTTTCCTAATTGGATTATAAAAAAGGTAATATTACTTGACTTTGGGGTCTCAGCTTTATAGAGTACCAGCAGTATTTTTTTTTTATTGTTTTTGAAAGAAATCTCTTATTCTCACCAAGGCTGCATTTAATTGATCAAAAATACAGTAATATTGTCAAACATTATTACTATTTAAAATGGCTGTTTTCTATTTAAATGTATTTTAAATTGTAATTTATTCCTGGGATGGCAAAGCTGAGTTTTCAGCACAATACTCCAGGGTTCAGTGTCACATGATCTTTCAGAAATCATTCTGATATGATGATTTGGTATCTATGTGAAAACAGTTTTGCTGCTTAAAATTATTGTGGAACCCGATACATCAAGGATTCATTGATTACTAGACAGTTCAAAAGAACAGCATTTATATAAAACAGAAAAACTTATTTCATTACGGAATAAAATTATGAATTACTTTCAAGAAAAAATTTTGAATGGTAGAATATGTAGGACTTAGTATTTGTTTGATTGTATTGTTCTACAATGTATTTATGTATTTTTTGCCAGAAGAAATCATTATTATTTTGGATAACAGTCATAATTCCTACAGTGTGATACAAAAACAGGGTTAAAGCTTCAAACATTATGTCCACTAAGCCTTGATTAGTTCACATGAAAACATTAAAATCATTTGAAGGAAAATATGAGAAGTGAATACAAAAGTTCAAAGTCAAAATGGAGATGCTTACACTTTCTCCTGGCATTCCCCTCTGTCCGATCTCACCATCCTCGCCCTGCAGACAAGAGCACAAACACACTTGCCAACAGCGCTGCAGCCCAGTGTAAGTACATAGAAATAAATATAAAAATTAGATATTGGTGTGTCACTTGGACAAACGCACCCTTGGTCCGTCCTCTCCTGGAGAGCCTGGTAGGCCGATGGGACCTATCTCACCCTGAAAGAAAACGAAAGAGATGAAATGACAGAGAGAGAAAAAGAGTAAATGTATTATTACCGTCTCTGCCCGCCTGCCTGTTTTTGGCTCAGTGCATTGTTAGGGCTCATGACCACTATTTATAAGACTGCATCCCTATAAGAAGAGGATATAACATAGCGGGGCCTGTAATTACCCAGGGCAGGATTAGGAGGACAGCACTCAGGCTGGAAATATATGCAGCTCCCTGTGATCTGCGGGCCTCTTTCACTACACCAGCCCAGGCCAAGCAAGCCACACTCTGCTGTGCCTAGCCTTCATTTGCCAGAGGAGCACTAGCACGCCAAACAGCCCCCCTTGCCACTATAATGAGATCAACTTCTCCTGCCACTATGACTGTCAGCACGCTAAACAAAATGTACAGAGGCAGACATGGAACATTTTTATAATGTACAAGTCTTGGTCTTGGTCTTGGCAGGAGCCGCCAAGAAGCTTTTCAAGTGGAGTTAACTAAATACAGTAGAATTCTGTAGGAAAACTGCTGCTGAGGAATAAAAGGAAACCAGGCAAGAATTGTTCCCATAATCATAAAGCGCTGTTTGAGACAAGCTGGAAGTTTGATAATTGAGCATTCAAAGGCATTTTTTCTCACGGGTGGTGGTCAGGCTTGCGTTCTGCCGTCTAGAACGATTCGGTTTCAGTTCAACTATTACATCAATGATGAGAAACTAAGTATGAGGTTTCTTAAGAATAGCTCAGCACTTACTCTGTGTCCCTTATCACCAGGTAAGCCAGGAAGCCCATCAAATCCTCGGTCCCCCTGTTAGACAGCAATGGCAATGAGAATAAAAATAGAGCTGTTAACAACGCATAATGTTTACAGTTTTACTGCACTTATATACCAATATTCTAAATGTTATTTATTTCTGTTCTGATGATTTTCTAAAAACTTGGGGTAGTTTTTAAAAAGACTTAATCACAAATTAAAAAAAAATTTTTTTATTTGTAATCATGAATATTATTTATTATAAACATAATTATACTTAAACTAAAAAGGTATACTTCAAAATATATACTGAATTATACATTTGTTTCATTTTTACCAAGTAGTTTTACTAAGTATCAGATACCTAAAAAAATCTCTATTTTTAATCTCTGATGATAAAATGAATAATTACAGCCATTAAACATTATTATTATTTTTTAGGCCTAAACTGCATATTATCAGTTTTTGTTTATCATTTAGAGAACATGATTAATCGTACCACAACTTTTAATTTTAACTTTAACTATTAATCATCATATAATTCCATTATAATAAATAAATGTTGCATTAATTACATTATAATTGTTGTTTATTATTATTTTAAATGTAACGGGTAGAAATTAACTCATTAATTCAAAATCAATAATTACATGACAGACACACAGTAACAAACTCTCCTTACTGATCGATATAGAAGAAGCAGTTCCGAAACCACAAGTGTGTTAAACTGTGTTAAAGTGGAGTCAGAGATGATTTTACCTTGGCTCCTGATTCTCCAGGAATTCCTCTGGCTCCATCGGCTCCATTTCGGCCCTGTAAAACCAGGTCGCATCATCAGCCTGATGCTATGTGCTACGAGCATGTTAATGTGCTTAACATATGTTTTAAACAACTGCAGAATCGATGCGAGACAGGAGATGAAGTGAATACACCCAAAGACAACCTAAATAAGGTGTGTTGAGTCTACAGCATGTTTGAGTCCCGAGTTATTGTGGCAATTTGACTCATTTATAACGAAACTGAATAAACTGTGTCAAAGGAGAATCTGAGAAACGTTTGGCACTAAAACTGGCAGATGTGGATGCGAATCCAATGGACATCTGTCATTCTGTTAAGCTGAAACAGGTAAATTAAGGTCAAGGCTAATAGACACAGACAGTTTCACGGAAAATCTGGTGCATGGTTGGTGAACGAACAGTGGTCTACTTGCGTAAAGCCTTTCAGCTTCACTTTGCCAGAGTACTTCAGCAGCATTGTAGATGTATTATGTATATGTCACCTTTTTGCCTTTTCAACTCTAATGTCATGTCGTGTGGCAGACCAGAGACTAAATGACAGCATGAGCAGATTTTTCCAATTCTTACCCTCTTGCCTGATTTTCCAGGTGATCCAGTTGGGCCTTGAAGTCCTCTTGGCCCCTTAAAAAAACACACAAAAAAAAAAAACACATAAAATTCTGTAATGAAAGCGTCTACTGATAAATGGCAAGTGAAAAAAAACCCCAACTGTGACATAATTACTTCTAAACCGTTTGCCAAAAGCGTCATTTTTATGTAAAAGTAACACTTAAAGTTCAAAACTTTTTCCTCACCATCAGCTGACTGAGACTCTGTGCTCCAGAGTATAAGCGCATATGTTTTTTACACTAGAAAGTGCTATTTAACTGCGGACAAGTGTTTATCCCCCAACATATTTTGCATTCAATAGCATATAAGCTATACATCGAAAAGGAGCTAATTGTTTTGACAGCGTTAAAGTTTATGGCGGCCACACCTGTGGGATCCAAAGCAGAGCAAATCTCTGACACAACACCCGAATCTCTGTTCATTTATCCGCAACAAATAATGACTACAACTGGATTCCACTGAAGCAATTTGGTTTATTTCTTGTTTAAAAGCAGTATTTTGATGTTTTTAAAAACATAATTTGAGTGGGCTGAAAGCACTCAAATAAGCATGACACATGCTTTCCACAACTACAATATATGCTACAATGTAGCGCATCTTAAATATACCTTTAATTAGCCAAAAACTGAATTTTAATCATATTTTTCAGAAAACACATTCAATAATATTGAAACTAAGTTGATTATCTGATTATGTAATGGGCTTATTGTATAATAACACATTGCCCTCAACTCAAGGTGACAAGTACACTACCGTTCAACAGTTTGGGTTCAGTAAGGTTTATATATTTATTTTGAAAGGGATACTTTTATTCATCAAGGATGAATTAAAATGATCAACAGTGGCCGTAAAGACATTTAAAATGTTACAATATTTCTGTTTTAAATAAATGCTGTTCTTTTGTCAGTCACTGTCCACTGAAATATTAAGCAGCACAACTGTTTTCAACATTGATAATAATAAGAAATGTTTCTTGAGCATCAAAATGATTTCTGAAAGATCATGTGACACTGACGACTGGAGTAGATTTGCCATCACAGGAGTAAATTAGATTTAAAAATGTGTTAAATCAGAAAACAGTTATTTTAAATTGTAATAATACTTCACAATATTACTGTGAGCATAAGAGACTTCTTTCAAAAACTGTTGAAGGGCACTGTAAATATGAAACACTAGAAAAATGATCATGTCTCAGGAATACTCAGACCATCATTCTATACTGTAAATCAGAATTACATGAATGAAAGTAGTTAAAACGGGACTCTAAAGTCTAAAGAGAAAGTCACCTGTGGGCCAGGATCTCCACTTTCCCCTTTAGCACCATTTGCACCAGGACCACCCTGAAACACACATACAGATGAGTTTTACGTCTCACACACCTTTCTAAACACCAATATCATATGCGCGGAGCTGTGTTTGGGTCACACGCTGGACACCCAAACACATTCCTTTGCCATTGCTTTTAAAGGGCATTTGATTTGGAGGCAGCTGTAGAAAAGAATGAGAGAAATTCTATGGGCATTCCTGGAATGATTCATCTCAAGCGAGTGAAATACAGCAACACAAAAATGACAAAAGAAATTTGAGAAAGGAATGTGAAAATAAACAGCAGAGACAGCCTGAAAGCACATCATCACAGAATAACTGTTCATTTTCTGGTCATAAATCACAGCAAGATTAATGTAACATATGTTCCTATCAGTGTTTGTGTGATGATGTCAACTGGAGGAAGTTGGGTTCAAAAGGAAGATACGGGAAAAGAAAAAGAGACATTTATGAATGTAAATCTTGGCATGCATGTGGCTTTTAGATGATGTTTATTTAAGCAGCAGGCGGCTCATCCGTGTTCCTCATCTATAATCAAAATAATAAATAAATAAAATGTATTTAACTTAACAAGCGTCACAATTCCTGAAATTTTTGTTCACAACTTAATTTCATTGTGTGCAAAATATTTTTACAAAGTTTGTAAAATTGTTTAATTAATTAATTTACTGTTACGACTACATGAATAGTATCCGTAAACTATAATCAGATGTACAAAAATCCAGATTAAGACTGTCACAGACACATTAACTGATTAAAAACATTTTATTTTTAATCTAACATCATTCATTCATGCAATTTATTTCATATATGTTTTTTTATATAAATATATATTGCTTTGTATAAGTATCTTTATTTCTTGTTGTATGAATGAATGAATGAATGAACGTTAGGTAAAAAGCTACATTTTGTAAAAATAATAATAATATTACAAAACTTGTGGTACTATTCAGTAATATAATTGAGTAACATTGTTTTATTTTGCTGAAAATGCATAATTTAATTGCATTTAATTGTTTTCCTAAATATTGAGCATTTTTATTGACACTTACCACGGGGCCGGAGCGTCCTGTCAATCCCATTGGACCAGGTGGTCCCCGCATAGTCAACTGCAGGGCCCAAAAAAAAAAAAAAGGATTGCAAAGCTGACATTAACTGCAGTAGAGTACATACGTTGTATTACTGGCAACTGGTACATTTCCATGTCATAGAGTGTTATGAGAGCTATAAACCTGCTTTGGTTTTAACAGTCGCTTTAAACTTGCTCATATACATTCTCTGCACCTACAAACTTGTTTTAGCCAAAATAAATGAGTAATAAAAAAATCATTCAAGGCAACATGAACAAGGGTACACACCCGGGCCTGGGCGAGGATGGCTTGGGCCTGCGCTTCTTGTGCCGTCACCACTGGACCCTTTGAAGATTCTCCACCAGCGCGGAACTGTCAGAGAAACATCCACAAACACAGAAATTGCAAGTTTATTTCAGTACTTTTACTGCATGCTGGAATTTAGAGGAGCCACTGGAGTTGCTAAAACATAAAGTGGCTTCGTCAGTCTTGTCATTATGGGTTTGCATCTGGGCTGCAAAGTGCCAGTTTGTGTAGAGTTACTGTAGACGGCTGGGTGTAGCGCGAGTGCAGTGGGGTTACTGGGTGGGGTTGGGGCTCTTCACAGCTGTAACAATTCATTACCCTCTTGGATGTTTACAATGACAGTCATTTGTCTAATGTTAGAGGAAGAGGCCATTTGCATCTGATCTGAGATAAGTTTGGTGGTTTCTCTTAGATTAAGGGCTGGAAAATCTTGTCCTCAATCAAAATCATTGGAAATGTATGGGTTGGAGAAGCTTACCGGCAACATAAGGATGGTGCCCGAGGGCCCAGGAGCTCCATCTGCGCCTGGCAAACCGGGACGACCAGGAGGACCCTGCGAGAAGAAGAGAGAGAGAAAAGAAGGAGGGAGAGCAGAAGGAAATGAGGCATAAAGCGTGTGGGAAACGAACGTGTAAATGGCTGGACAAAAAAGAAAACTACAGGCATGGAAACAGCATCAGGCCGGTTTCTTTGAAGTTTAAAATACACACAAGCAAATGAAAAATACTGTAGGATCATTTTAAATTAGGTAACCTAAATCTACTCAAAATCCCTAAACAGTTCACATAAACAAAAATCACAAAAGCTTGACTGAAGTGTTTAGAGAAAAAATGCTGTGGCTCTTTCACAAATTGCACCTAAACTGCAGGAGATTTCTGCAGCGTTCCTTACGCCCAAAATCAAAAATAGCTAATGTGCTAAAGCCCGGTCATTATCCTATAAAAATACACTTTATTTCGCTTTATATTTATATGGAGGTTTATGTGTGTTTTGTGTTGTTTATAGTTCCTTTCATTGCGTTGTTTATTTGTGTGTGTGCTTGTAATGAAAGTGACACCCCACAAGGAAAGTGGGGAGGACTATAACGCATGCACACACATTATAGTGGAATGCTGCTAGGGTAGTTTTGTGAAGAGATCTCTTTAGCAGCCATGTCACGCTCCTCTTGTAGACGGCTCACTTTAAATTGTTCCCATATGACGGTATAATTGTGTGAGTGTGTGTGTGCGTATTGTGAAATACGCAATACACCTAGCATACATGTGCTTCCGTATATTAAGGAGAATGTGTTGTGTAAAAGGGTCAGGCCATCAAGGGAAGTGGCCATCGTTGTTAATTATGTATTTTCGTCTACAGAGTTTGGCTTCATTTGAGAAGGAGCTGATGGAGATCAAAGTGAGACTGGGAAATCGCTTTCCCTCACGGACAAAAAATCTCTTTGTGCTGGGAGATGCAGGACAGTGAAGGTGGGAGTACCCTTCCCAGAATGCATTGGAAGGGTTAACTCTGCGGGAGGTGGAGAAGAGGAGGCCAAGCTCCACCACCGTAAAGAGGAAAAAAAGTCCAGCTGTTTGTTTGTATGAAGGACAGCTATTCTCTGTGCAATAATCTACATAAGGCATTTACAATCCTGAAAAATGGTGCGAACAACACCGGACATAAGGATCAACGGGAGAATGAGTATGTGTTAATGTATATGTGAGGTTATAAGGTCTGCAGCTCCTCTGGAAGTGTTATTAGTGTGAAGATTTATAGACAGATCTGGTTTCAACGTGGTCTCCCAGGTCTTTCAAATACACACATCTGCTCGTTCACATAGTTAAGACATGCTGCTTGTCATTAGCTTATTCTCTCAATGCAAACTTTACCATTGTCTTTATGTGGAAGTCAAAAGCTACTAACTTCTCTAATAAAGTGAAAAGGGGCTGTGAAAAGTTCTGCCAGGGCTACTGTTACCTATAACTGGTGTATCTATATCAACGAGGTGTCTTAACGCCACAATAAGCATTATGAGTAACACAGATTAGGCAGGATTTTCTGAGAAACGTCAACTTACTCTCTCACCAGGATCTCCGTGGAGGCCCGGGGAGCCTTGTATACCAGGAGTGCCGGGGAGGCCCTGAAAAAAAGACATGCAAATGTAATGTAACATACACAGAAACACTCACGCCAACTCCATGCTGACATTTTCCATAACGTGTTTTTTCCTATGGAGTTTCTCCATGTGTGAAGAGTGTGGAAAAAATGTGATACTCACGGCGGGCCCTGATGGTCCTGGGGGTCCCTCTACAAGCATCCCCTGAATAGAATCGAAGAAGAGAGAAGAAGAAAAACATGAGTGGGGTAGCATGCTGGGAAGGCCGTAAATATCACAGTTTGAGCAGAGCAGAAATAAAAAAGAAAATCAGTGATGAACGAAGAGGAACCCATAGATGTGGCTCATTAGTTCAACTGAACAGATCTCCTGTTTTCCACTATTAAAGAAAAGTGAATGATGCAACTGCTGTCAGAATCTGATTAATAATACATTGACATTTGAAAGTATTAATGGAAAAATCTTCTTTCCTACTACTACCATCTTACCATTCCCGTACAAATAATAATTGGGTGGGAGGCATGACTACTTTGCCATATTACAAAAGCAGTTCCAATAAATAAAAGTAATAAAATAAAATAAACGATTTTCAGATTTTCTTTCAAAGAAGAATTTCTGAAGGATCATGTGACACTCTCTGAAGACTGAAGTAATGATGCTTAAAATTCAACTTTGCCATTAAAGAAATAAATTATATTTTAAAATATATTCAAACAGAAAGGATCATTTTAAAAAGTAATAATTTTTGACAATATATAAATATATATATATATTTTTTTTACTGTATTCTTGATCAAATAAATGCAGCATTAGTGAGCATTAGAAACTTCTTTCAAAAACATAAAAATCTAACCAACCCTAAAATTGAGCAGTAATGCATTTATATTAATATTTAAATATTTAATTATATTTTGCCTCATATAATATTTTATATACAACGATTAGCAGCCTACCATATCCTGAACTGACACCATATTGAGTGGGGAAAATCTGATGCGTTATTATAGTTGCATTTCATTTGGTACAAAATTGTAAAAGCCTCATGCAGAGAGTTTCCCTACCGGCTCAATGACTGCAGGTTCACCTTTTTGCCCCTTCTCACCACCATAGCCTCCACCAACCTACGACAGAGGCAAAAACAAACTGAAATTTAATGACAGAGGAAGTACTTCTCTTGTAGACCAAACAACTGTAAAACACTACATTAAGCACTACAGCTAATTCCCAAAATGGTCTGCATCACTCTATAAAGCTAAGTGGTGAACATGCTCAGTCACTACCGTGAGGATGTTTAGAAATCAAGTGTGAACTCCATCTTTACCTATAATGTCCACTTATAAGACCCACAGAGAAAGCCATTTGACAATATGTTTACAGTCATTTAACACAAGCATCATCCAATAAATTCGGTCTGTCAGTGTGTGTGTGTTTATTGTTTGTGAACCAGGGTGATATTTCTCTCCAAGAATGAAGCAAAGAGCACAAAGCCACTGTGGTCAGTGTGTGCTTGTGTGCAAGTGTCTGTGTGAACGAGTTCTTGTGTTAAACTGTGAAAATAAGTCTCAAGTTATATCAGATCAACACTGCAATCACACTGCTAACATTTCATTTCCTGTCTCCCACACACCACAAGCAAAACGGCTACAATTGAGAGACTTTCGCATGCTGCTGTGTTAGCAGAAATACTGAAATGTAGTAAATTAAATATCCATTATTTCAAGTATTAGTATTAGGAGCATTAGAAGAACAATTATGAGGTCACAATAACATAAAATAAAAAACAATGCTAGACAATTGCTTGCTACACAATTGACTTGATTCCAGCATAAAAAAGGGAGAAGTCAACTCACATTACTCTCCGTGACCTGCGTTTCAGCAGGTCGGCCCGGTCCGAACTCATCCTCGTAGGTGGATCCAGTGGGTTTGGCACCATTAGTATTGTAGTCATAGAATGAATCGTCATAATTGCTGGGGTCTAACTCTTTTGCATCATATGCGTTAATGTCGTATTCCTTAAAGTCCTGGGTTTCGGCTTCATTAGTGGACTCCACAATTTCCACATTCTCATTGGTGGCAATGGTGGGATCCACTCCAACTTCTTCTATCCCTGTAATGTAGTCGTCAACAATGTCCTCTTTTGGCAAAGGATTCTGCCAAGCCAGGGAGGTCAACGAATAAAGGGAACAGGGAAGACAGTCAATAAACACACCAAATCAAACTAATGAACTCTTTAATGAAGCTCTACAGGTAAAATTGCTCTGGCAAGCATAATTTTAAATGGGATAATTTTGGTTCTGACAAGGGGTGTCCAATCCTGCTCTTGGAGGGACATTTTCCTATAGAGTTTAGCTCCAACTCCAATTAAATTATGTTTTATTAACAAAGTTTGGGAGGAGCACGTTCAGATAATTAACATAATTACATTCAGAGAACATTCAGTAAATCAACAATAAGAGGTATATATATATACAGCAGACTAAACTCTGTTCTTTGACAGTTTATCAGTATCCCTCCACCACCCCTTTTTCCACAATTTTAGTTCTAACTATTCCAACCCGGGGAATACTCTGGGTTCGGGCCACATCCCACCCCCCGGACAGCACGCCAAATATGAATAAAGCTTTACTCCATCTAATTATATGTAAGTGTGAACCCGTGAAACACACATGAACCAATTAATCAAGGTCTTACTGGGCCTCCTAGAAACTTCTATGCAGGTTTATTGAGGCAAGTTAGCGCTGAACTCTGCAGTACAGTGACCCTCCAGGAGCAGGTCTGGACAGTGTGTATTTGGTCTAATGTCGGTTCAATATATAATATAATCTTTATAAAAAATAGACAATGTTCAAACCGAAGACCACAGTATATGGCAACATGACCACATGAAAGACTGCATGCATCCACTAAAAATCACTAAAACACCTGATATTTCTCAGAAAAGCATTATTTGTTGGCAGATGGCATTCATTTTATACGCTCCTGAACAAAATCTTAAGACCGGGGGAAACATTACCAGTGTTCGCATTTCGCGCTGGTGGATCGTTAACAGGTTGTGAGTACTGCTTCAAAATGCCAAAAGAAGAAACCGGAGCAAGAGACAAAAAATATAGAGTAGGCAATTTATTGAAAACTGCATTTAAACCAAAACAGGCTGTTTATTAGCTGATCAAAAGTTTAAGACCATAGCCTTAAAAAGGTCAAATCTGCACAAAAATATGGCTTTCATGCCATTGTTCTTCAGTCAGTCACACTGTCATGATCTCCTGATGGCAAACGTAAAAAGGCTTTCTCTCTTTGAACGTGGCAGGATTGTTGAGCTGCACAAGCAAGGCCTTTTGCAACGCGCCATCGCTGCCGAGGTTGGACGCAGTAAGACAGTCATTTTACATTTCTTAAAAGATCCTGAGAGTTATGGGACAAAGAAGTCAAGTGCTAGACCCAAAAAAATGTCACCTGCACTGAGCCTTGTTCACGGTTGTCCGTGAAGACACATGTCGATCCTCAACCCAAATTAAGGCCCTTACTGATGCTGACTGCAGCCCAATAACCATAAGACGTCATCTGTGAGAGAAGGGCTTAAAGAACAAAAAATGTCTTCAAAGGCCACATCTCCTCACACGCCACAAACTTGCCCATATGGAATTTGTAAGGGAGCACCAAACATGGGACATTGAAAGGTGGAAGAAAGTTTTATTTTCTGATGAGAAAAAAATGTAACCTGGACAGTCCTGATGGCTTCCAACGTTACTGGCAACGTTACGATCCCACCGTAGATGTTTTCTACGCGGCACAGTGGAGGAGGCTCCATCATGATCTGGGGTGCTTTATCCTTCAATGGGAAAATGGAGCTTCAGGTTGTGCAGGGGCGTCAAACGGCGGCTGGCTATGAACATGTTGCAGTGGGCATCCCTCTTGACTGAGGGCCCTTGTCTGTGCGGTAATGACTGAGTCTTTCAACAGGACAACGCTGCAGTTCACAACGCCTGCCTGACGAAGAATTCTTCCAGGAGAATAACGTCGCTCTTTTGGACCATCCTGCGTGTTCCCCTGATCTAAATCCAATTGAGAACATTTGGGGATGGATGGCAAGGGAAGTTTACAAAAACGGACGTCAGTTCCAGACCGTGGATGCCCTTCGTGAAGCAATCTTCACCACATGGAGCAACGTTCCCACCAACCTCCTGGAAACAGTCCCATCAAGCATGCTGAAACGAGTGTTTGAGTGATCAAGAATGGTGGGGCTACTCACTACTGAGTCCTTTTTTGACACTTTTAGTTCTGTTGTGGGTTTATTTTTGGGCTATGGTCTTAAACTTTTGATCAGCTGATGAACAGCATGTTTGAGATTAAATACAGTTTTAAATAAATTGCCTACTCTCTATTTTTTGTCTCTTGCTCCGGTTTCTTCTTTTGGCATTTTGAAGCAGTACTTACAACCTGGTAACGATCCACCAGCGTGAAATGCAAATACTGGTAATGTTTCCCCCGGTTTTAAGATTTCGTTCAGGAGAGTATTTACTTATCTAATGCAATGAGCCTCATTCTTTTGGACCTTCTTTAGAAGTGTCAAAAAGTGTCCAAACACTAGGTGAATCTTGGTGAAACAACATTCAATATTTTTGCCACTGCAGTGAATAGAAAAGAAAACGTCCAATATCTTCCAAATTAAAAAAGAAATCCTTGATAAATGTTTAGGTATTATTGCTAGCATATTTATAAAATTATTTAAAAAAAGATTATATAAAAAAAAATCTGAATCAGTTCGGTTAACTGCAAACCACACTAGCATTGCATGTGATAAGGCTGCACTGGTGCCTCATCTTAATCTGTACATCCTGTGCCTTCCACTAAGAATGAAACCATTTGGACAGTTTTTTTCTACTGGAAAGCTATTTTGGCGTCAAGTCTGACAGTCTTCCTCAACCAGGGGCCTTGATGCATTGAACAAAAGGAATTAACATTTCTCCAGTTAATCCCAGCCTTTGTATTGTACACCAGGCGTGCTTTATGAGGCTGCGTCAGTCAATGTAGGTGTATCATTTGAAGCAGACATTTGGCCATCGCTAAATGCAAGACATACTGTTCTGGTTAAAGCTGGATGTTCCTCATTTAGAATTCATTCGTGTGATATCTTAGAACAGACTGTGACAATCATCAATCTTTGGAAATAACATAAATCAATACTTTCAGTTGAACATAATTATTAAATGAAGGGTTGGATTTGATTGTGTAACCATAAAAATCAGACTAATGTACAACCAGTCAGTTAAGACAAACCAAAATAAATGACCTCAAGTAGAGTTGGCATCTCATTTAGCATCAATATGATATATAACAATTACTTTAATTTATCAGAAAATAAGGTGCAAAATAGTTTACTAAAGTCAGCAAATTCGATTTCATTTATCACCTGTACCAAAATAAATATATTTGAATAGAATCCCTCTTAAAATAGACAATGGAAAATAAAATGTAGGAGCATGCAGATCTTTACCTCATTGGCTGGAATGGAAGGAGCTTCAGTGCCATAGTCCTGCTCAACATAGTAGTCACCCGTGTCAGCAGTGCTGGGCTATGAGTAAACATCACACAAGAAATTCACATCACTCAGTTCATTTGTGAATGTTTATTTATTCTTCTTCTTTTTTTTTCTTTTTTTTTTTAAACGCTTATTCTTAGTTGTTTATATCTGAATTTGAAATAGAAAAATGTTCAACTGCAAGTAAAAGTTGGATTTGCAAGTAAATAATAGCTGGCCTGTAACTTTAAACTTCAACATAATGGACGGTTTAAATCACTTGGTTGAAATCAAACTGTCCACAAAAAAAAAAAAAAAAAAAAAAAAAAATCGCTTTCACCTCAGAGCAACATTTATCATCAGAAATTGATATAGGATATAATGTTTTGTGCTGCCTTTCTAATGTGTCAAGAAAAAACAGCTACATTTATTTTTTCTCTTTGACAGTATTTGTCACGGGTTGTGAGGGAGATATTAAACACACAAAGAAGACGATGATGAAAGTTAACAGGCTTTAAAGGGGTGATGAACTGAGAAATCAAATTTTCCTTGAGCTTTTGACATCTAAGAGGTCATCAAATTATACGAATACCCTGTAAGTTTCAGAACTGAAAACATCCTTGTTAGTCCAATAAAAGCTTTTATTCACACCAGGCTCAGCAAACGACTCGTTTTTCAAAGTGGGGAACTATGACGACAAAGAAGATTAAACACCACCCCCGCAGAAGAAGATCAACGCCTACTTCAACACGGCGGTTTAGCCCCGCCCACCGATTCGCACATTACACCAAACTCATTATAATATGCAAAACTGTTATCCACTCAAAGCAGTGGGCGTTTACTTCCAAGTCTTCAATGCGAGACGCCCATAAAAACCGAGCGTTTTTGAGCTAGGCTCAAAACTAGGGAAGAAAATAGCCTATTACTTATTCATTTGGAAGTTTTTGAATGCAAAAACCAAGCGAACGTCAAGTTGACCTCAGACAACAATATAATACAATTTAAGTTCATGACCCCTTTAAAGATCCAACTGGATAATCCAACGAGATACATCCAAAGCAACTACACATCCGAGACCGATCATGAACACAAAACTGAACTGAACTTAAATAGTGAGAGGATAAATAATGGAGACGTGAACACCTGAACACAATGACACACACCTGAACTTAGTAAAGAATCAAATTAACAACCATGACGACAAACAAGGTGAAAACACAAACCATGTGATGAAAACGTACTCGGTTACTAACGTAACCTCGGTTCTCTCTAGAGAGGGAACGAGTACTGCGTAATAGCTTACGCTAGGGGAAAACCTCTTTTCCACGAGATATTGAAGCCAAAAATTATCCTTAATTTTTTATTAATGTAAAACGCTTTGCAGCAGCAAGCAGACACAGGCGATACAGCTCGCGCGCCTATTGGCTGCTCTTGCAGCAAATGCAGCAGCCTATCGAGAGAGACTCTGCGTGACGTAATGACCAATGGGGGCAACTCGCGCCCATATCGTCACGTCCCGCCAGAAAGGGCGTGGTCTCACTCTATAAATATGCTCGTTAGGCTGGTACAAGCTGGTTTTCATCGCCGAAGCGAACCAGAGCGTATTCCAAGCACGGCAAGATACGCAGTACTCGTTCCCTTTCTAGAGAGAACCGAGGTTACGTTAGTAACCGAGTACGTTCTCTTACGAGAGTATCTCTCGTACTGCGTAATAGCTTACGCTAGGGGAACACAATGCAACACGCCGTGCGTACAGGGATCCAACACCAAAGTCCCAGGGGCCGAAGCCCAGGGCTCATATAGTGCATAATCACCATAAACTCACATAGAGTGGAGGAAGAGAGGCTGGAAGCGTCATTCCTTATAAAATCATATGACAATAAAACGTGCAGCCAGGGTGAAAGCTTTCAGCCTGATCTGGGTGACCATACGTGTGTCAACACTCATGGGGCTGCAGTAAACTCAGCATCTGGGCCGCACAGCGGGGCAGATAGCACTGAATTTTTTGACCGCCAAAAGCTTAGCTTGTAAGGCGGGTACCTCCAGGTTATAGTATTTCATAAATGTAGACGGCGAGGCCCAGCCCGCGGCCGTACAGATATCTTGCAGGGAAACCCCGCTAGACCATGCCCACGAAGAGGCCACGCCTCTCGTGGAGTGCGCTCTGACACCCAAGGGGCACTGCAGGCCCTTTTGCAGTGTAAGCGAGTGCAATGGCATCCACTATCCATCTGGATAGGCTCTGTTTTGAGGCGGCAAGTCCCTTGGAGCGCCCGCCAAACAAAACAAAAAGCTGCTCAGTCTGTCTGAAAACAGACGAGCGCGACACATAAGCTCTTAATGCCCTGACGGGGCAAAGGAGACTCGCGTCCTCCTCCTTATTGAGAACCGGAAGGGTGGACAGGGAAATTACCTGGGCCCTAAACGGTGTATTGAGGGATTTCGGCACATACACGTGCTTAGGTTTGAGAATGACCTTCGAGTCATTAGGCCCAAACTCCATACATGACGCGCTTACTGAAAGCGCCTGCAAGTCCCCTATGCGCTTCACTGAAGCGAGAGGCCGCCACATATACTTTGAGCGTGGATGGGGTCCTGCCCTTATCCAGTAGCTCTTGAAGGAAGGAAAGCACTTCCGAAACCCCGCATTCCACAGGTGAAAAACTCTGGGCTTGACACCATGCTGAGAAAACAGACCATTTCGAGGAGTAGAGCCGCCTGGTAGACGGAGCTCTAGCCTGCGCGATCGTGTTTAACACTCCTTCTGGGAGGCTAGCGGGTACCCGTTGATGGCCCATGCGTGCAGGGACCACAGCTCCGGGCGAGGGTGCTAAATCGAGCCCTCCGCCTGAGAGAGGAGGTCTCTCCTCAATGGTACTGGCCATGGGGCAGTGCTGGTCAGCTGCATCAGGGCAGGGAACCACGTCTGGTTTGTCCAGAGCGAAGCTACGAGCAGCACTGGGCATCCGTTTTCCCTGATTCGTTCCAACACCTGAGGCAGGAGCGAGACAGGAGGAAAAGCATATAGGGGGCAGCGGGGCCAAACATGAGCCAGCGCGTCCTTGCTTTTCGAGAAAAACTTCGGGCAATGAGCGTTTTCGTGGGACGCGAATAGGTCCACCTGTGCTCTGCCGAATGTTTTCCACAGCAGCTGGACCGTCTGCGGGTGCAGCGACCACTCCCCTGCTGGAACATTGTTCCTGGACAGTCTGTCTGGTCCCACATTCAGGTGACCAGGCACGTGCGCTGCTCTCAGTGAGAGCAGGTTGTGCTGAGCCCAGACCAGGAGGCGTTCCGTCAGCCTGTGAAGGTTTCGTGACCTGACGCCGCCCTGGCGATTTATGTATGCCACCACTGACATGTTGTCCGACCGGACCAAGACGTGGTGGCCTGTTACCTGGGAAAAAACGCCGTAGCGCTTTGTCGACTGCTATCATCTCCAAGCAGTTTATGTGAAGGAGCTTTTCCCGTTCTGACCACAGGCCATCTAGCAGTCTGCCCTCGAGCAGCGCTCCCCACCCCGAGGTGGAGGCGTCCGTAGACACCACCTTCACACTCGAAGCGGTCCCCAGACTCACACCTGACTGATACCAGTCGGTTATTTTCCAAGGTTCCAGAGCTGAAACACACTGTTGGTCGACCCTGAGGCGAAACAGACCCGCTGTCCATGCCCTGGGTGGAACCCGCGCTTTCAGCCACATCTGCAGTGGGCGCATGCGAAGCAAGCCCAACTGGAGTACAGAGGCCGCTGAGGCCATCAGCCCCAGCATTTTCTGAAACCTTTTGAGCGGAACTATCGAGCCGTGGCGGAAGGATTTCGCGACGCGCTGAATATTTAGTCCGCGCTCTGGTGACAGGCGTGCCGTCATGGATAGCGAGTCAAACACTGTTCCCAGAAAGGAAATTTTCTGACTGGGAGACAGTGAGCTCTTCGTCCAATTGACTGTGAGGCCCAGCTCCTCGAGGTGCTCGAGTAATGCGGCCCTGTGTTCTATGAGCTCCGATCGTGATCGAGCTAGAATCGGCCAATCGTCCAAGTAGTTCAGGACTCGCATGCCCTGAAGTCTCAGGGGTGCGAGCGCCGCGTCCATGTACTTCGTGAAGTTATACAACAGGCTCATTGCTGCAATAATGACATTTTCAGCCGCTCAAACTAGGAGCTGAGAAATGTTTGAGAAATGGAGATTAGTCCGGCCTCGGCGGGGACTAAAACACACTCTTTTCTCATTTGCCGGTGACGCACGCCCATGGGGGGCGGGGTAGATTTCTTATAACGTAAAGAAAGCTAGCCGCGGTTTTAGGGCTCGCGGTCTTGATGCTGGCCCGTTTCCCTGACGACTCGCGCGGCCGTTGCGCGGGCGCCTCCCAGTCGAGGCCGATGCTTTCCACGGCCTGAGAGAGCAGACGCATCAGCTCAGTCTCAATGCCGGCTCTCTTACCAGTGGTTCGGCGGGAAACGCTAGCGGAGGGGAGGTCCACGGAGCTCGCCCAATCCTCGCTATCAGATGCCAGAAGAGAACAAGCCTCGGTGGGTTCGTCAGTGAGCGACTCGAGCGAAGCCGGCGAAGCTGGCGGGCGAACCGGCGAGCTTTGGCGGGCTGGAGAGAGCTCGGCAGCGCGCTGGGCGCGGCGCTTCTTGCAGCGCGGCACCACGGCGGGCTGTGGTGAAGGCTCGGAGAATGATGCCAGGCGAGTCCTCAGAGTCACCATAGGCAAAAGCTCGCAATGAGGGCATCCGCCGTCAGCGAGCGCGATGGCCGCGTGATCCTCACCCAGGCAGGACACACAGATGACGTGGCTGAGTGGGGCGCGGCACGAGCCACAGGAAGGCATCTTTAAAAAGACGCAGCTCTTTTGTGATGAGAAGTGTGAGTCGCGTCAAGTAAGCGAGCAAACACTCTCAGCAGAGTAAGGATACAAAGTGATATAAAAGGATATAGAACGTCGGAAAGCGCAGCAGGTACGGCAGTTGAAGGCGGCGAGGCCAGCGACTCCAGAGCTCGTCCCGCTGAAAGGCTTGCTTCGACGGCGCGGCTTCTCACTCCAGATCCAGCGATGCGTGTGCTTCACTGAAGAGATGAAAATCAGCTTGTACCAGCCTAACGAGCATATTTATAGAGTGAGACCACACCCTTTCTGGCGGGACGTGACGATATGGGCGCGAGTTGCCGCCATTGGTCATTACGTCACGCAGAGTCTCTCTCGATAGGCTGCTGCATTTGCCGCAAGAGCAGCCAATAGGCGCGCGAGCTGTATCGCCTGTGTCTGCTTGCTGCTGCAAAGCGTTTTACATTAATAAAAAATTAAGGATAATTTTTGGCTTCAATATCTCGTGGAAAAGAGGTTTTCCCCTAGCGTAAGCTATTACGCAGTACGAGAGATACTCTCGTAAGAGAACTAAGATTAAACCTAACCAGATAACCCTGACAAGTATTAGTTATGTGACAGTATTAGACTATTATTGACACAATACAATATTTTCTCAATAATACATGCAGGTGCATTTGAGTGAAAGTATGGATGAAAGTGATGGCATTTGAGAAAAGAGAAAGGCAAATTGAATGAGGGCAACAGAACAGTAGAGTGTAATAAATCAGAGACCACACAGTGTGACAATGGGCGGGCTGAAGAAAATCCCACAGTGATTGACATTCACCTGGGCCGTACAGATGTGTGTGTTTACCTTGGTCTCAGTTTGGACGTTGTCAATGGGATTTTCAGTGGCAGTCCCTTCTTCTGTGTAGTCATAGAACTCATTATAATCCGTGTATTCAGTATTGTACTGAGAGAGAGATGGATGCATGTTAGAAAGAAAGACTCGGATCTTAAGATTCAAGTCCCTTTATACAGTTTAGAGGCCTCGGAACGCATTTGAACACTTTTTGAATACCCGATGTCCAAAAATGTGTAAACTTCGCAGACAAAATATCAAAACAAGGGGCATTTCTTTTTTCTGCAGTAGCCATAATTTACAACAATTTATCTATTGTTTTGTCATTTTCAACCTGTAACACTTTTTTTGTGAATGTTTTGCTTGAAAAATGTTTGCTCTATATTTCTTTAATATTAATATATATATATATATATATATATATATATATATATATATATATATTGCTACATAATGCAATGGTGTTCATACATTACACAAGTTTGGCTTAAGTGTTCAAATACATTTTGGGGTCACTGTATACTAAAGGGAAGATGAATTGTATGATATATTAATGGTATATCACACAAAATACAAATTGATAAGAACTTAAATCATGCAAAATGTGCTTGTTAAAGCCATTGACATGATGGGTGATCAGTGAACTACATAAATCTTTTGTAGTTCAAATATTTAGGAACTTTAATTTCTCTGATCTTCCCCATCTGTTAAAAACATCAAATCAATAATATCAAATTACTTTGAATGTATTGATGTCTTACATGGCACTTTTTTTATCCAAAGCATATGGTACAAAAAGCCCAGATTAAATGCTTTGAGTACATGAAACATGAGCAGAATGAATTTCTGCATAAATCCATTTGTACACACAGTATCCAATCGATTTCAATTCAACAGTTTACATACAAATCATGTTTCATGAATAAAACAAAATGATTCAATGTAAGAAATGATTAACAGTTCAATGTACTTAGAAAAAAAAAATAAGACAGATAAACAGCGCAAATATGAGCAAATGCAAAAATCTTCATTTGAGTGTGACAGAGGAATTCCTGCCTCTGTTTGGACTCCTTTACACATTTTACAAGATCTTCACTAGTTCTTCACTAGTAAAAAATACCATCATGTACACAAATACAACGAGCACATTTAGCCCAGCACACAATGTGGTTTTGGATATTCTGTAAGTTCTGTCGCAAAATATATACATCATAAAGCCTTTTATTTTTTTGTATCTTTAGGTTTGGTCTTAAAAATGACAGTGTGAACACAAAGCAAACCAGGACTAAATGTATCTCGGAGTCTGGACCAAAAGAACCAAGAGAACCGAACTACAAGTGTCAACACACCCTTAAAGACAGATAATGAGACTATGCAACCTGCCTGCTAATGCTATAGTTTATCTTGCTAAAATTTGAGGCACCTGCCATTTCAGTCCACTGGTTTTTAGCAAACTTTAGTTAAATTTTCAATATTCAATAAAGATATTTTTTAATAATTAGTATTACCAAAAAAAAAAAAAAAATACTACAAGCGATGTAGTTCAACATTACAGGCAGTTTAAAATGGCTGATGAACAGAAATTTGGCACATAAAAAACAGGCACGTGTTTATAGTTAATAAGCAACGACTTGAAATTAATTATTTCAATCAGAATTTAACTATCCAATCAGAGTCTGAAGTATCATTTTATAATCTTTATGAAAGCACCTCTTACACATGACAAGAACGTAGTGTTAACCTCTTAACCTGCATGGCGGGCCCATTTGCCATTGCATGTTTAAAACAATAATATCTTAGTAAAAACCTAAAGTAATATTGCCAAACTATATATCATTTGAAAGCTTAAAATCTCTAGTTTTCATATTTGGTGGCTGTTATCTAAAATATATTACAGAGGAGCAGAAATTTATCAATTTGCAACAAGAATATTTCATATTCATTAGGAGTATTAGGCCTTTATTTTGAAATAACAATAAACATGAAAAATCATGAAAGATTGGTAGAAACCTCAGTTTGTTTTCATGCCATGAGTTCAAAAGATAACACCAATTCCATTTTATGAGAAAAAAAGGTCTGAAAATGTTTTAAATATAAAGAAAAATGTATGGATTCTCGATTCGTAATGCGGCTGCGAGCTATAACGCTATAACGTAGTCTTTATGCATTTATTAGAGGTTTAATTCAAATCAAATACTGCCAAACCACCCATACTACTTCTGAATAGGATGTCTACTTCATAAATTGTATGAAAATTATGGAAATACATGGTTCAGATCACTCAAAACATATGAAAATGGAGGCGCCCTTATATGGGCAGTAATGGAGTCTGGTGTTCACCTAGTGAAAAAGTTGGGTACTGCGCCCGAATAAAATCTTACTGAAAGCTCATTTTTTGAGATATCAACCTAAAATTTGGAATACAACTTGTTCAGATATTTGACTTTAATTTTCTTGCAGTTTTAGAGTAAAATATATTTTGTAATATATATATTTTATATAAAATATTAATCATTATATTTTTACATTACACAATTTCATAAACTCAAACTTATATAACTTTTTTTCTGTTTCATTTTTTACAATTTCTAGACTTCTACAATAATCTGGAAAATGTCTTCTTTAAAACAAGACCAGCCATAGGTCTATATTCCAAAGCATTCCTGAATTACAACCATTTAAGTTTGGATAGTGATTTTTATGTCTATGCAAAAAAAAGGGGGGTGCCAGTTAACAGGTTAATGTAAAAGACTTGTTCTGGTTTTTAACATTTTATTTTGTTGTGTAAAGTTAAACAGTGCACATGGTACAGTATATTCGTATGTCACACATGGTATGTTGCAATTTATAATTAATTTATTGGATAATTCTGCTTCTCATAAAGTGTACTTATTAAATGTAACACTCCCAAGCCACTTGCACACAAAACGTTTCGAAAGTTGTTAATGTACTTAAATGGCAGTCAATTTAGCATTTCAACAAAGAGCTATTGTTAAGTCCTTCCCAATAATTAAATGGCATTTATAAACAAACAATTATAAAACACACGCTTCCAATTGTGAGCTTGTTTTCCTCTATGATTGTAATAAGGTGCACAAGCATAAGGTGAGGTAAAACAGATTAAGTTAACAGGCATTCTGTGATGTGCCTTTGTCCATCAGAGAGGAATGAAATTAAGTCCCAATGCATCAGCTGAGCTAATAAAAATAACACAAGGAAAAAAAGAACTGAGGCCTGGTGGACTGGCTGCTTTCCACTGGCTAGAGAAAAGAAGCTAAAAGGAAGAAATATCCAGCTGCGAGTCAGTTTACGGCATTAAAGGGTCTTGCCAGGCTTGGAGCCTACCCTGGCTGTAGCCAGCGAGCTGAATGAAAGGCATAAATATCATCCTGGGCCATTAAAAACGTGTCCCCGTTTCCCACACGTGTCTTAAAGCATTTGGTACGGCGCAGGGGAGCTCCTTGCAGGGGAATAGAACGGACCTCCCTCTAAAAGCTCTTCCTAATGTAAATATAGATGTTAGATTGCTGAAGCTGAGATGAGTTATAGCACTTAAGTTAACACGGATTATAAAGCTATTTTTCATCTGTTTTTAAAAAGCTGACTATATAGTTATGTCATTTGTTTTTACCATTCTGTATTAATTCACTAATTTGTCCATTGGTTTTGCTCTGGCGTTCTCCACGATACATGAAGCTACATTTTCCATCCCCTGTTGTGGCGTAGTTCTCAATACCCCAAGCAGCAGTTACTATGATTTATCATCATTTTACAATCAGGAGTTCTTTAACAGCTGAGAGACATAACTTTTCCAGGTATTCCAGACCTAGCTGTGGAGGGAGAAACTAGACTTTCCCAGCAAGCATGCAGGAGTCATTAAAGAAAAATATATTTCCACGCCACTCAAAAGTGGGCTCAGACTCTGTGGCAGGGGGGGAAATAGTTTCCACTGTGAGCTCATTGGTTATTCAGTGAAATATTATTGGAAAACACTGATGCACCGAAAAAGCAAAATATCGACAAACCAGACAAACCGCACTTTCAATTTGGGATTAGCAGGATAGTTTAATCCCTCTAGATCACACTTGTGATTAATCACAGTAGATTCTGTAAGGACAATTTGTACAGACTTGCAGCTCTAATAAAACATTGTTTTACCACAATAACACACTAAATAATAGAGAATGACATTTCAAATACATTTTTAGTTGAGTAATCTAACACATAAAAAAAAATAGGAATATTAATATTAGTAAGTATGTGAATTTACATTTTGTTAATAACTGTTACATCACCAGTAACAGTTTTAAAATAAGCCAATTTAAAAAAAAAAACTATTTTTATTAAATTAAAAATATAAAATAATGAACAATAATAAATATTAATACTTCAAATACATTTTACATACTTTTACTCTCAGTGTTTCACACTTTCCACTATAAAATTAGATTCTCATCATGAGATGCATGATTCTATAAAGTATGACTATTCCTCCAAATATGGCAATAAAAACGTATTGTTACACCTGGCTGAGCTTGAAAGCACAAGCTATGACCTCTCATACCCTCGACGTCAAGTGTCCACAGTGCCAGCTAATGCAATTAGGACAGTGATATTTAGAGGAGAGATTCATTGGGAAAGTATTTTATATATAGATGTCAATATGGATATGAGAAAAAAAATTACCAACGAAAAACTATTTGACAAGTTTAAACAGTGTTTTTACTAGTTGACTAGAACAAAAACCCAACTAGGCAATTACGTGTGCACATCCCTACTAAATTCTGATTAATATTTTTTTTTTTTTTTTTTTTATATGCCATGTTTTTGAATCCAGGTCTTAGAGAGCCCCAGACAGAAGCTGCGGGTGTAGACCATATATAATCCATCAATACATCATCACAAAACCACACACATGCACACACACACACACACACACACACACTGACCTCCTCCTCGGGCTCCTGGGCCTGTGGTGTGTCCTGATGGGGGGTTTCACAGTCAGGGCTGTAGTGTTCACAGTAATCGTAGGCTGCACGAGGGTCCGCCACCAAAAGAAGCTGCTGGATGTCCCCCTGAATGACAGCACATAGACAATTATCAGAAATATTCTGGAAATCGATACATAGATTTGATATATGTCATTTTTATTCCGCCTTGTGAAAATGCTATGTGTTTGTTTGAGTGAGACAGACAGACAGACGGACAGAAATATATACCGATATTAGATCGACCGACAGACAGACAGACAGACAGACAGACGGATAGACGGATAGATGGATAGACTGATTGACAGACAGATTGATCAATCAATAAACAGATAGATAGACAGACAGACAAACAGATAGATCGATAGATAAACAGACAGACAGACAGACAGACAGACAGACGGATAGATGGATAGATAGATAGACTGATTGACAGACAGATTGATCAATCAATAAATAGATAGACAGACAGACAGACAGACAGACAGACAGACAGACAGATAGATAGATAGATAGATAGATAGATAAACAGACAGACAGACATACAGATAGACAGATATACAGATAGACTGATTGACAGACAGATTGATCAATCAATAAACAGATAGACAGACAGACAGACAGACACACAGATAGATAGATTGATGATAGATAGATAGATAGATAGATAGATAGATAGATAGATAGATAGATAGATAGATAGATAGATAGATAGATAGATAGATAGATAAACAGACAGACAGACAGACATACAGATAGACAGATAGATCAATAGATAAACAGACAGACTGATCAATCAATAAACAGATAGACAGACAGACAGACAGACAGACAGACAGACAGACAGACAGACAGACAGACAGACAGACAGACAGACAGACAGATAGATAGATAGATAGATAGATAGATAGATAGATAGATAGATAGATAGATAGATAGATAGATAGATAGATAGATAGATAGATAGATAGATAGATAGATAGATAGATAGATAGATAGATAGATAGATAGATAGATAAACAGACAGACATACAGATAGACAGATAGATCAATAGATAAACAGACAGACAGACAGAAGGGCAAACAGAAGAAATATATTCAAAACCACAAGTCCTAATCCTCAAAAAATAAAAAGCACAGCTGCTTGCCATAGAGAATCCTTCTCTTGATATTGTACTAAATCAAAAAAGCATGTGGCCGAGTGCCACAGAGACCTATATGTGTGATAACATCGAACGTAGCTGCAGGGCATTGAGCATTAGCCCTTCGTTCTGCCATGATCTTCTTTCCAATCTAGCCTCTGAAAAGTCGCTCACAGACAGGAAGAAGGCCAACGCGCTGCTCAGCTGAAAAAACAATGAAAACGAAAGTGCTCAGTTCAGCACGGTGTGAGCACACACCGGAAGGGCCACTAATCTGCGTCCCATTCAAAAAAAGTGATAGTGCTTCAACATAAGTCACATTTCACAGAGCGGTCCTGCGCTAATGACTGAGGAATGGCAAGAAAAATAACCAGTGCCCGTGCTGATGTGCTGAAATATCTGAAGCCTTCTGTTTTTCATGAAAATTTGGGGAAAGGAAATAAGATCCCCTCTCCCACCTCGACACAAAGGCCAAACAGCTACGTGCACATGCTGAACCCAAGGAATTCTTCAAGCGGGAACTGTCTGACTTTGCTGAGAATGTAAACTACTTCTGTAGAGACTGCAGAATACCTCAGCTGACCCCCACAGAACAGACCGCTCAAACCCGTAATGCCAAACCCAGACATAATGCATCGTAAATAGGTAAGTCAGAGAAGGGCAGATTTCTTTGATTTGATTGGCATGTAAAGTCGATTCAAGCGGGGTGGCCTGGGGAGGAGAACGCTAACATGCAGACGACATTAAAATTACAGGGTCTACATCTGTGGGAGCTTAAGGCGCTGGAAGACATTTTATGGTACAAAAAGGATGCTTCCAGCAAGCATGACCAATAAATCCTTGTACATGCTGGAGAGCTCTGACATCCCTCTGTACAACAAACATCTCACAGTTAGAAGCAGCTGACACACGTTTAGGAGTCAAACACATTTTAAAAATCAACTTTATATTTGAAAATGAAAGCTTTGCCATAGTTCACATATTCACAGGTCTTAATTTGGTCATTCCAATTGAGTTGCACCTTACACAGGTTATTTGGCTTAAATTGAAAATTCTGTCATCATCTACCCTTCCCTATGTCACTCCAAATTCATATGACTTTTCTCCAGAAGAGCAAAATGTCAAAGCTGCGCTTTTTCATGCAGCCCACTGTCGCACGCGCACGCTCGCTGTTTATCCAGCAGCGGCTTTGGAATCAACAATGGCCACAGACAATTTGAGGAAGTGGTGGGGGAAGTGACGTATGCCGTAAAGCAGTCGAATTTTGTAGATCTTTTTGTGCTCCGGTTACTACCCGAAACCCGAAGTTACATAGTGCAAGTAAAAGCGATACAGACCACGTCAGGCTATGGCAGACGTGTCATTTAACCTATTGGAAGTCGATGTACCACCATCACAAGGTCTTGGAAATATATTATGAAGGTTGAAAAACTACATAGTGTCACCTTAAAATCAGGTCCACAGACTATCATACACTTATATACAGAAAAACTAAGCAGTTAAGTTGGGTTTTTTCTTCTCTGTAATCATGTCTAAGCCCACACACACACTCCATTGAATTTGATGTTAATTTAATAAATATTTTGTCTAATTTGATTATGCTTTCAGATACCAATAACTATAGTATTCTCATCTCTGTTTGACACATTTTAGCATGCAGGCCCGTCGGAACAGGACAGGCAAACCAAGCAATTGCTTGGGGCCCCGAGCTGGACTGGGGCCCCAAGACAACGAATGTTTAAGAATAAAATGCAACGACAAACTGTGAGCGCCCCTTTAATAGTCAATGCAGTAAAGTGCAATGACACTGTTATCGGAATCCCCCTCAAGGGGGCCCCCTTCCACGCGATCTCTGCTGCCGGCAAAATACAAACCTCCTCGGGAGTTATCATGAAGCGGAATTATGCTTCAGGAAGCCAGAAAAGAAAGAAGAGAAAGGAAGAGAAGGTTAAGAAAATTACCAAAAAGTGGTAAAGTAATAAATTACACTGCATAAAAATAGCTCTACTTGTCTTGTACAAATGGTGTAATTTTGCAGCAGGTAACATTAGGTACACATACAACAATATGTTTATGTTAGCTACCTGCCTGACGGCAAATGCTGCTTGTAACGAACAGTTAGTGCAAATTTTTTTCCGAACGGACGGAATATGGTTAACGTTACATACTGTAATATGTTTTTTAACGGTTTAAGAAATTCCAGAATCACTGTTTATCGTATTTAATGACATGACATTGCTATAGCTAATAGGTTTTGATGAAAGTGGCATAGCATAACTATTCCACCATGATAATCTATTTACCTCTATTTACCAATGGGGGGCCTCCATGTCCATTTTGCTTTGGGCCCCCAAATTCCTTCAAACGGCCCTGTTAGCATGTTTAAAACCATTCAGCAGAATTCCAGTATTGTTCTCCTAAAATCAGCACAGAAAATGCATAAGTGTGCAAATTTTGTTAAGGCCTGGACATTTCTTCTCTTATTTAAGGCAGGGGGTTTCAACCTTTTTATACCAAAAACTCTCAAATACCCATAATTCTAAAATATAAAGTATATCTACATATTTTCATGGCTAAATATCCATTTATGATGTGCAAGAAAATTTATAAAAGAATGCTATACAAATATGTTGCTTCCTATATTAACTAAATTATGTTTACATTGTTATTGTACTGAACCACATTTTTTCAAATATTATCTTATAAGTTAAAAGTGTATCCTTTTTTACCCACTATCCATCCATCTATCTTAAAGGAGACCGTAGAAGTTTATTATTATTATTTCTGACTCAAGACATTCTTTAGAAGATTCTTTAGATTGAAACAGTAGTATTATTAAATTCTGTAAATGTGATAAATTATTCTGTTAAACATATTTAGTCTCTTAATAAACATTCTTATTTTTTTCAAAATTACAAATGTTATATGTATATATATTCCAATTTAACCCAAGCTCCATGCATGGTAGGCGCAGGTACTGTAGATAGCAGGAACAAATTTAAATGACAATAATAAGAACGCTGTACCGCACACTATTGACTTTACTCTTTTATTTTATTCATTCAAAGCGAACAACACTTTTCGCATATAGCGTTCTTAGGTTCGCTCACCTGCAAACCTGAGGACGCTATAAGCGAAACGAGTTGTTCGCTTTGAATGAATAAAATAAAAGAGTAAAGTCGACAGTGTGCGTGCGGTACAGTGTTCTTATTATTGTCACATACAGATGCAAAAGCCTCTAAGTGCCATCTGAAATTTTCTTCTAGAATGATAATTTTTATCAAGCTTGTATGTTTACGTTCAGTTATTTCACTTGAATGGCAATGACAATTACCTATTAATTGTCATTTAAGTGAAATTACTGAACACAAATATACGAGCTTGATAAAAATGCTCATTTTAGAAGAAAATTTCAGATGACACTTAGAGGCTTTTGCATCTGAAGTCTTCATATGTACTGTATATATATTGTATATAACTACTACAAATGACAAAAGCACAAAATAAAATGACTGAAAGTTAAACTAAAATTAAATTATCAAACGAAAACTAAAAATATATTATGAAAGCTAATTCAAAATATTATGAAAACTAGATTGGATAAAATAATCCTAAAAAACCCACTGGTGTCTCCTTTAAAAAAGTGCATGACAATATCGATACGCTGAACAGCAAGTGAGGTTTGGCCGACACATTGATATTCAGTGACCCCATTCAAACATAGTCAGACAAACCATTCTGATCTAGTTCAACATGAATTCAAAAATGTGCTGGCCCACTACTGGCATCAATCACATCTACTTTTTCAGCTTATTAAATCCAGTGACTCTCCATCATTGGATGGGAGTTGTTTTTCGAAGTGTCTGGCACATCTTCTTCCTCACTACTGAGAACCCAGATAATATATACTAGCATGGCTCTGGACTAAACACTGGCGGAAACAGG